TTGAGTTCACATATAATAACGCCCCGTCAGCCACTACACGGCAGTCACCATTCTACGTGAATTGCAAGCAGAACCCTCCAGTACCGATCACGCCCAACATCTAAAATCCTGTACCCCGAGTCCAAGAGTTCACCGAAATAATACAGAATGCCCGGGAGCGAGCAGCCGAAGTCATTAAGCGCGCGAATGTTATTTCTCAGCGCAACTGTGATCTACATGGACGAGCAGTAACTTACCAAGCTGGTGACTTCGTACTTCTCGACACCCAGAACCTTCGACTGCCCATCGTCCCATCTACTGTTACCAGCCACTTGGAACGTCAGCCCATCATTTCACGTGCGATTACTTCGACCATACATCGCCAGCACAAGTAAATTACCACGTCACCGAGCGAATCTGAACATCCGACCGCTCGCCGAGCCTACTTTCGAACCTGCGAAGGTTCTCAGCCATTGGATCAAGGACCCTCGAGGGGCTCGCCTGACATTTCTGATATCTTGGAAGGACCGGACGACCCTGGAGAACAGTTGGGTGCCCCTGACATAGATCGAGAATTACCCGGTGTTACGAGTCTACCTCCAGTCACGCAATGTGTGCGACGTCGGCGGTCTTAGCTAAGACCATACCTTGGAGGGGGGAGGGTGTAAGGAAATGGTATTTCCTTATCAAGAGTTTTAGTTAATAAGGCGAACACTGCTATAATGGGGTTGCCGCGCAACTCTGCCACGAAAATCAAATCGAGGTACCCAAATGTGGTCTCCTGACGAGCCGCATGTATTTTGCCCGCCTTGCTGTTTCATGCCTAGATCTGGGCGCTTCGCGCCAATTTACGAACCACACTTCGCAGCTCTGCCGAGCCACGACCGTGTGCTCTAGGCTAGCTATATCCATTATTCCTGTTGTTTTGATGTTGCCTCGGTTGTATTGTTTTCTCGTTACTCAATCCTTCGACACCAGGGCTGACATTTAAAAAAAAGCCACTCTGAGCCAACCCCCCCGAAAAAAAGAAAAAAGAAGAAGAAGAGGAAAAAAAAAAAACCTAAAGGGCCTTAAGCTAAAATTTCGGTACTCTGAAACGTCAGAGTCCATAACTAAGCTTGTCTGGTTTTCTCAGAGTCCAACAAGTACAACCAGAGTTAAAAAATAATAAAGACAGAAATTTACGAAACTTTTAAGGATACGATGCCAGAGCATGAAAATGTTTTTGCCCCTAGACAGGGAGAGACGAAACAACTATTTTCTAATAGTCATCCCTTTTAGGAACATTCTCGTCCGTTGCTCGTTTGGTCAACTGAAAGTCTATCAAAAATTTACGGCCTCGATCGATTGCGATTGTTTCGACATGTTTCGACCGTTCGATGGTCGCTAAATATTGACGTCCAAGATCTCCCAACTGGGGCGCTGCAAGGGCGCGAAGTTTCTCCCACCGCTCTATTCGCCCAGCTTGCCCTCTCTCCCTACAGGTAGTTTTGATCCCTCCCTCCCCATCCATTTTCGATCCCCCCTCCCCCTCCGTTTCGCTTCCCCCCTTCCATCCGTTTCGATCTCCCCCTTTCCCCTCCATTCCGCTTGCCTTCTCCCCGTGCACAGCTCACCCTCATACTGTATCTGTTATAGTTCTGTTTCTGACTTCGCCAAAACTTTGGGCTGTTTGGGTCGGGGTGTTAGGGTGACTATGTCTGATAACCTGACTTGGCCGAAATTTTCGATATGTTGTGGGGTGTGTGGGGGATGTCTCTAGCGTTTGGGGACTTCGCCAAAATGTTCGATGGGTTGTGGGGTGTGGGGGGGATGTCTCTAGCGTTTGGGGACTTGGCCGAAATTTTCGATGGGTTGTGGGCAGGCCCCCAAATTGGTTTTGGGGGTGTCTGATTCATCAGACTTGCTTGTCATCCCTTGGTATGGCCATCAGAGTCGCCCCTTAAAAAAAGTCTGAAAAATCAGAGTAACAAGATATTTTTTGTCTGATTATTCAGAGTTACCATTAATTTTTACGCTGATTATAAAACTGGTGTTCTGTATGTCTATTTTCTCCTTCCCTTTCCTAATCCAGGGGCTCTCTCTTCTTGCGTGCTCTTGCTATCTGTGTGCTGGCGACAGCACACAAAATTTCGCGTCACCCTCGACTCGGCCCCGCGCCAGCGCAAATGGGGCGGGCGGAAAGGAATTGAGGGGCGGGCAAAGTAAAATTGCAGGGAGGGAGGGAAATCGCGCCATCCACGTGGCTATTTCGTGAAGGGCCAATGGGCGCCCTCGCACACACAACCCGCAGCAAACATCTGTATTTTTTTTCAAGGGCCAATCGGCCCCTCACACCCCCACCCTGCACAAAGTGGGAGGTGATTTTGGTGAAGGGCCAGTCAGCTCCCTCACACAACCCCCATTACGCACCGGCCTTTGATTTTGGTGAAGGGCCGGTAACCGCCCTCACAAAGCCCCCCGCAAGCATCGCGCTCTGATTTTGGCTAAGGGCCAATCAGCGTGCCTCACAGGTAAATCGCGCTCCTCCTCTCCCTTTCCCCTTGTCCTCCTCTCTGTTTCCCCCTATCCTCCTCTCCCTTTCCCCCTGCCCTCCTCTCCGTTTCCCCCTATCCTCCTCTCCGTTTCCCCCTATCCTCCTCTCCCTTTCCCCCTGTCCTCGTCTCCCTTTCCCCCTATCCTCCTCTCCCTTTCCCCTTGTCCTCCTCTCCCTTTCCCCTTGTCCTCCTCTCCGTTTCCCCCTATCCTCCTCTACCTTTCCCCTGTCCTCCTCTCCGTATCATCCTTTCCCTATCCCCCATGTCCTTCTCTCCCTTTGCCCATATCATCCTCTACCTTTCCCCTTGTCCTCCTCTCACTTTCCCCCTATCCTCCTCTCCCTTTCCCCCTATCCTCCTTCTCCTTTCCCCCTATCCTCCTCTCCCTTTCCCCCTATCCTCCTCTCCTTTCCCCCTATCCTCCTCTCCCTTTCCCCCTATCCTCCTCTCCCTTTCCCTCTATCCTCCTCTCCCTTTCCCCCTGTCCTCCTCTCCCTTTCCCCCTATCCTCCTCTCCCTTTCCCCCTGTCCTCCTCTCCCTTTCCCTCTGTCCTCCTCTCCCTTTCCCCCTGTCCTCCTCTCCATTTCCCCCTATCCTCCTCTCCCTTTCCCCCTCTCCTCCTCTCCGTTTCCCCCTATCCTCCTCTCCCTTTTCCCCTATCCTCCTCTCCCTTTCCCCCTGTCCTCGTCTCCCTTTCCCCCTATCCTCCTCTCCCTTTCCCCCTGTCCTCCTCTCCCTTTCCCCCTGTCCTCCTCTCCCTTTCCCCCTATCCTTCTCTCCCTTTGCCCATATCATCCTCTACCTTTCCCCCTGTCCTCCTCTCACTTTCCCCCTATACTCCTCTCCCTCTCCCCCTATCATCCTCTCCTTTTCCCCCTATCCTCCTCTCCCTCTCCCCCAATCCTCCTCTCTCTTTCCCCCTGTCCTCCTCTCCCATCCGCACTCCCCCCCCTCCCCCCCCACCACTTCCCTCTCATTCCATTCCACTGCTCCCACTGTCTCCCCTTGTTTTCTTTCCACCCCCTTGCTCCGTTTATCCCCCTGCTCCCCTGCTCCCTGTCACCCTGATTTACAAGGCGGGAGTGAGGTTCTGATGGTGGGGCCTGACTCTTGCCTCTCAGCTCCCGCTCCCCCTCTCCTTGGCCTCAGCTCACCCACTCCATGGCCTCAGCTCATCCTCCTGGTCCCCTCTGCTCACCCCTCATTCACTTACTGTCCTCTTTCTTTGCCGTCTGCCACCCCCTCGCATTGCTCTCCCAACAGTGGGTCATGACCCACGCAGGGCACTGCACGCATCAACTTGCACTCTGCCCACCCCTACCACGCTCTCCCTCGCACCGTCACACCCTTTAGGCTCGTGTTCATAAAAAAACTTTGTTATGACATACTCTGTTTGAAACGAAACAGCCATAATGCATCTATCCTATGTACTTCATTCCTGTTGTGACGCATGGCCTTTGTGTGAGCTCATTGTTTGTTTTTTGCAGACTTTAGTTACACAATTACATAGGGTTCATGTTGAAGATTTGGTGTTGTAATATAGTTACCAGTGGGTTCAGTTGGGGCTAGACCGGGCGTGTTTCCGCAATATTCTGTTTCGTGCTTCAGGTGACTCACGTGTGCTTTTGCCCGATCATCTTCAGCCCGACAGTCCTAGTTACATATTAGGATCGATATTGTACGCGTCCTAACTCTGTTTCTCACCCTCCCTGTTCCCACTCGTCGCCAAAACGTCGCCCATCTCCCGCAGGTGGGGTCCGTGACTTTCGTGCTTCCCCAATCCCATTTTTTCATTTTGCAGCCCCCATGCAAATTTCGCCTCTCTGACCAAGATTCAAAGAAATCGAGTCTTGATCGTTCTTGGGCCATGTGCTTTAACTCAGTGGTTAGTGGCTGAGTTTTTGACATGGTTTCAGAGCGTTGGTGACTCGGGTTCAATTCCCAGTGCTAGCGCTGTAGAGGCGCTCGTGTCTTCCACCTATCCTAGCGAGGGGGGGTGTCGAGTGACCCGCTAGGGTTACCCTTGAGAAGATCCTCGGGGAAGGGCCACAATCACAGAGCCTGGGGGGCTATGGGCGCACTGACCTGCTATTAACAAGCCCTTTAGTGGTTAGTGGCTGAGTTTCTGACACAGAAGGGCCCTTCAAACACTCATTGCTTTGCGTGAATCCACCTTAGGAATATGCAAATAGTTGTAGCCTCATAATGGCACCCCCCTATCCAATCTAACCATTGTGAGCTCAAGCTACATCAATTCATATGATAATGTGGCGTGTTTTGGTCCCTCCTGCTAGTGACGCATAGCCGTATGATAGAAGCTTACAACCGCTACTACCTGTATATTTCTAGCCCTACTGCCATGAAACACTAGAATGGTTGCAATTCACGAATGCCCTTCGTGCTACTATATCGGGTTTTCCTGATCAGGCAAGTATTTCGGGAACATGGAATCGACACTTGCCTGTCATCAGGTCTCCTTGATGCTACATTGCTGGTGTGTTTCAGTGACAGTAAACCCATCCGCATTCGGACGTACGCTTAGGACGCCGCGTGATATTCTGAGGCAGATCGCTGTTGGTAGCAGGTTATCTGAGGCCTCGCTCTTATTCCGTCGCGTCGCTTTCACATTGCTAAGTGGCGTGGCAAAGATTTCGCGTAAAACAGAGAAACATACACCGGCGAGAAAGGAAGCGCCTCGCAACGCTACGAAACCGGACCGGCGTCTATTACGTCGATTACGTTCACTCGAGGACGATTTTCTGGTCTTCGAATCAGCAGTCTCTTTTCTGCCTTCCTTCGAACCGCTACGCTTCAGCAGGAGTACTTATCAGGAGTACAACGAAATGTCCGGAGGAGGTGACCCTAGACCACTATTCTTTTCCGATTACCTTATTCCGACTTTTGTTTTCTCGAGGTTTATATCGGATATTCTGACTGCCGTTGGGAAACGACGCGAGCCAGTGTGCTTCAAAGGAGAGTGAGGTCATACTGGCGTAGATTCTCATGCTTTTGCTGCGGAATGGTACATTCGTACCAGAAAAAGGAAATGAAAGGCTACGGTGCTAGTACACAGGATGATATGGGGCTGCTGCTCTTAAAGCAGTCTTTCCAAGAGCTGACTTTTGAGTGGACTCAAGAATCTCGCTCTTTTGCTGCGAAATGGTACACTTGTACCAGGGTGGGGAGATAATACGGTGCGAGGACACAGGATGATATGGGGCTGCTGCACTTACAGCAGTATTCTCAGGACTTCCTCACCCAGATCACCAAACTTCTGAGTGGACTCAAAAGCCAGCTCTTACAGCAGAGACTTTCCATGGCTTTCGCACCCATATCACCCTCCTCCTGCTCCCCTCTTGCCTCCCATTCCCGACAGACGAGGTGTCGGCGTTGGTGCTGGATCTAGGCTCACACACATGCAAGGCCGGATACGCAGGGGAGGACGCTCCCAAAGCCGTCTTCCCCTCGGTATGTACGCGCAATCTTCTAAACTCCCCCTTCCTTGTCTGTAACACATCCTTCTCTCTCATTTATCATTTTCCCTCCTTATTGGGCTGTTCATGGCTTGTTATGATGCACATCCAGGGCATATTCTCGGTCCACATACCACATAGAACCGTTCTTAACCTCCCACGGTTGCCCACAGTGCTGCTTGCAGGTGTTTGGTGTGATAGAGGCGGACGCAAAAGGTGCTGATGGGGGGGGGAGGGAGAAAAGGAAAGGCTTGAGGGGACCTCTTGTGAGTCGATTCAGGAGCAGTCTTCCCCTCCCCCCCTCCTCCCCCCCCCCATGTTCCCGCTTGCAGGCATTTCGTGTGATAGAGGCGGACGCGAAAGGTGCTGATGGGGGGGGGGAGGAGGCGAGGGAGCAGGAAATCTCCTTTTATCCAGCTCAAGAGCAATCTTATCTTTCCACGTTGCTTGCTTACAGGTGTTTGGAGTGGTAGAGGTGGACGCAAAAGGTGCTGATGGGGATGGCGGAAAGGGTGAAGGAGCAGCAGACGAGGGGCCAGAGGCAAAGCGAGTGAAGCTGGAAGGTGGCTCGGGTGCTGCTGCTGTTGCTGCAGGAGCAGCAGGGGCGTCGGCGAATGGGAGCACGCCAGGTGGCAAAAGGAAGCTTTTTGTGGGGAGCAATGCCCTTGGATATAGACGGGACTTCATGGAGGTGGGTGGGCGGCATTTTTTGGCATTCTTATGGAGGAGACGTTTTTTGACTTGACTGAAAGATCAAACCACTCGTGATGCGAGCCAAAACTCACACGTGTTGAGTCAACTGAAGCACGCAAGAGGAAGCTGTTTGTGGGGAGATGCTCTTGGATATAGGTGGGAACGCATGGAGGTGGGTGGTTCTTTATTGGGGTGACTTTTGAGTCGACTCAAAAGTGTTGTGTGACATTGTAGCGAGGTGACTTTTGAGTCGACTCAAAGTCACCTTGTTTGTGGGGAGATGCTCTTGGATATAGGTAGGAGCCCATGGAGGTGGGTGGTTCTTTATTGGGACTGGCATGCAGGCAGGTGGCTGCCTTTTTTCACATTTTCATGGGTAAAGGTGTGTGAGTGAAGGTGGCTGGCTGGGTGGTTTTTTGCTCTCTGTTGAATATTGGTCTGCAATAACCGTTTTGTTAATAGAGCAAGAAAAGAAAAGGCCTCAATGTTTTCTGGTTTTTTTTTCCTCTCTCTCCTTCCTTTCACCTGGCGTCCAACCTTCTGAGTAGATTTTGCTCCCATGTTCAACTCGCCCTATCCCCTCTTCTCACCCCCTCACTTCTCCTTTCCAATATCCACCTCAGGTGGTGCCTTCAGTATCCAACGGTCTCCTTTCCGACTGGGAGGGAGTTGCGGCGATTTGGGAGCATGCACTTAAGTAAGCATTCAAGTGGGCTGTGCTCCTATTCGATGGCCCTATTTTTTTCCCCTGTTTTTGGCGCCTCAATTTTTGTTGAGGGCGCCTCATATTAGTAAATCCTTGGTCATTTGACGTGGAAGAGTTGCAGCAGCGGCGTTGAGATGAAGTGTCAGCCATCTCACTGCACTGCATGCATGCATTGCACCCCTTCCATTTCGTCACCCCTTCCCCAGTCGCTCCTCTTCCACTTAATCCCCGGCCCGATCTCTTCTATTCACTTTTGATTCAGAGATGGCCTATTTTACTGGTGGTTTTGAAGGAGATCGCTTTTTTAGTCGACTCTAAAGCCATCCCGGTTCTTCTGTTCACTTTCGATATAGAGATGGGCTTTTGGTGGTTTTGAAGGAGATCACTTTTGAGTCGGCTCAAAAGGCATCCCGGTGTCTTCTGTTCATTCTTTTTCGATTCAGAGATGGGCTATTGGTGGTTCCAAAGGAGCACGCAGTGCCACTGGCAGAGCCATCCTTCAACCCTCCTTCTATCCTTTCCTGCCCTCCTCTCTCTCTCGCATTCTGTACCTCCCTCTCCCCCCTCCACAGGGATCAGCTCCTGGTTGACCCGAAGGAGCATGCAGTGCTGCTAGCAGAGCCATGAGATTTTCTTTGCCTTCGCACCGTCCCCCTCACTGCCGCATTCCTTCCCGCTATCGATCCGCCCTGGCCCCTTCTGCTCAGGGATTGATTGTTGGTTGACCCAGGGAGCGCGCAGCGCTGCTGCTAGCACACATACCCGTCTTTCAACCCGCCAGCAGCGCGGGGGGGGGGGGAAGTGCTGTTGATCTTCTTGAGCCCTTTAAAGCATTCTCTCCTCTCTTTCACCCCTCCCCCTCTTTCTCCGTTTCCCGATGTCTCCCCCGCAGGGATCGGCTATAAGTTGACCCAGGGAGCATGCAGTACTGCTAGCAGAGCAGAGCCGTCTGTCAAGTGTCAACCCACCAGCAGTGCAGGGAGAAGGCCGTTCTGCTGCCATTGAGAGTATCTCTCGGTTCCACCCACCCACCCTCCCACCCTCCCTCCCTTTCTTCCATTCCTCTACCTCTCCCTCTCTCATTCCCCCCCTCGCTCGCCCCCCTTTCACAGGGATCGGCTACTGGTGAACCCAAAGGAGCATGCGGTGGTGCTAGCAGAATGGTATTCAACTCTCTTCCCTCTGGCTCCCTTCTCTCTCTCCCCCATCCCGTCCCTCCCCTTCCCCCTCCACAGGGATCGGCTACTGGTGGCCAAAGGAGCATGCACGCAGCGCTGCTAGCAGAACCTTTGTTCAGCTCTCTGCCTTTTGCTACCCTCCTGTCTCCCCCATTCCCATGCTCTCTCGAGCGACCCTTGCCCCCCACCCCCCCGCCCTTTTCACAGGGATCGGCTACTGGTGGATCCAAAGGAGCATGCAGTTCAGCTAGCAGAGCAGTCGTTCAACTCTCTGCCCCTTGCACCCCTCCTCTCTCCCCCATTCCCTTCCATTCCCTCCCCCCCCCTCCCCCATCTTTCTCTCATTCCCCCACTCGCCCCCCCTTTCACAGGGACCGACTGTTAGTGGATCCGAAGGAGCTCGCAGTGCTGCTAGCAGAGCCGTCCTACAACCTGCCAGCAGTCCGTGAGAAAACGGTGCAGCGTCCCTCTCTCCCCCCCTCGACAGAGATCGGCTGCTGGTTGACCCCAAGGAGCACGCAGTGCTGCTGGCAGAGCCGTCGATCAACCCGCCGCCAGCAGGGTGGGAGAAAACAGTGCAGCTTATGTTTTGAGACCCTTGGCCCCCACCACCCCGGTGTCCCTCTCTCCCCCCAGAGATCGGCTACTGGTGGATCCAAAGGAGCACGCGGTGCTGCTAGCAGAGCCGTCCATCAACCCACCAGCAGCGCGGGAGAAAACGGTGCAGCTCATGTTCGAGACTCTCGGCCCCTGCCCCGCTATGGCTCTCTTATTCTCCCCCTTCCTTCGCCCGCTTCCCCCTCTCTCCCCCTGTCACAGGGATCGGCTACTAGTTGACCCCAAGGAGCATGCGGTGCTGCTGGCAGAGCCGTCGTTCAACCCGCCAGCAGCGCGGGAGAAAACAGTGCAGCTCATGTTCGAGACCCTTGGCCCCCCGGCAGTCTTCCTCGCTCGCAACGCTGTCCTCACGTCCTTCTCGTGTGGGAAAGCGACGTCCCTTGTAGTTGACAGGTAGGTCATAGACACGCGGCGGAGCTGTTGGGAAACTGTACACAGAGAGTGCAGCTGATGTTCTACACCCTCGCCTCGGCCCACTGGCAATCTTCCTCGCTCGCAATGCTGTCCTCACCTCCTCCTCGTGTGGGAAAGCAACCTCACTTGTTGTTGACAGGCGAGTGTAGAACAGACGGTTCACGTTTCTGTTTCTGTTTTTCTTGTTCCAATTTCCACAGTATCTTATGCCTTTTCTTTTCAAATTCCCCCTGTCAGATCCTTTTTTTTTCATCTTTCTCCCCATTTGTTTCGGACAGTGGCTTTGCATCAACCACAGTGGCAGCTGTGCATGACGGATATGTGCTGCAAAAGGTGAGATGCATTTCTGGTGTCTGTTGAGGGAGCTGCAAACGGAGATGAATTTCAAGATACCCACAAGAGTAGCAGCAGTGCATGACGGATATGTGTTGAAAAAGGTGGGATGAGATGCACTTTGATCGGTCGTTTCTACTAGGGCGTTATGCTTTTGAGTCGACTCAAAGGCAGACGGATGTGTGCTGCAAACGGTGGGATGAGATGCATTCTGATCCGTCGTTTCTAGGGCGTTTTCAAGCAACAACTACAGTCTACATCCCATCCCCGTCACAGATGCACTGTCATCAGGTAAAGAGCCCCCCCCAAAAAATCTCCCACACTGAGTTCCCACACTGATTTTCCACACTGAGTTCCCACACTGAGTTCCCACACTGATTTCCCACACTGAGTTCCCACACTGAGTTCCCACACTGAGTTCCCACACTGAGTTCCCACACTGAGTTCCCACACTGAGTTCCCACACTGAGTTCCCACACTGATTTCCCACACTGAGTTCCCGCTCTGAGTACCCACACTGATTTCCCACACTGAGTTCCCGCTCTGAGTTCCCACGCTAAGTTCCCACGCTGAGTTCCCACGCTGAGTTCCCACACTGAGTTCCCACACTGAGTTCCCACGCTGAGTTCCCACACTGAGTTCCCACACTGAGTTCCCACACTGAGTTCCCACACTGAGTTCCCACAACGCATCTTTGGGCCTGGCTGTTGCATCTGTGATGCAAGGAGTTCCCACACAGAGTTCCCTCTGCGGTGGTTTTTCTCTCTCATCTCCTCGTGCAAGAAGTCTAGTTTTGAGACGCCTCAAAGCTGTTGCATCCGTGATGCAAGGAATTCCCACTGCAGTAGCTTTTTAAAATTCAGTTGGTTGTTGAGAATTCTCAAAAACCAACTCATCTGTGATGCAAGGAGTTCCCACACAGAGTTCCCACTGGATGGCTTTTCTCTCTCATCTCCTCTCGGTCCTCTTTCTTCCACCTGCTCCGATCTCTCCCCCCTGTCAGTTGCTTCGACGCTCTCCTGTGGGGGGGGATGTACTCATGGAGCTCCTCTGATCTCGCATGTGCTCTCATCCCCTCTCCATCCCCTCCCCTCTACCCCTGCCTTCCCTTCTCCTCCCACAGTCGCTTCGACGCTCTCCTGTGGCAGGAGATGCAATCACAGAATTTCTTCTGCGATCTGTGGGCAGGCAAAAGGTATGACTGGGAAAGTTAGAAGTTCACAAGACAAGACGTATAACTGGGGCAGGCGAAAGGCGCTACTGGACCAGCAAGGAGTGGTGTTCTGGGCAGGCAAAAGGTACAGCTGGGGCAGGCAAAAGGTACAGGGAAAGCAAAGGGTGAGGCGATAGGCACAAGCCCGAAGGTTGCCGCCTATGGAGATTCATCCCTTCTCCTGGCAAATTGTTTCTCCCTCCCTCTTCTTTCCTTTTGAGACGTCTCAAAACGAGATTACTAATACAAGGTACAGCTAGGTCAGGCAAGGGAGGATGAAGGGATCGGCATAAGCACGAAAGCTGCTGCCTCTGGAGATTTATCCCTTCTCCTAGCAACTTATTTCTCCCTCCCTCTTCTTTCCCCTCCCTCCCTCCTTCCCTCCCCCCCTCCCTCCCTCCCTCCCTCCCTCTCTATCTTTTCCCAGGCTCGCCCACACTACTCCTTCAAACGAGTGTTGACCCAACTAGGCCAGTAGACCGTAACAATTCACTTCCTCCCTCCCTCCCATCTCCCTTTTCTCCCCCCACCCTCTCCCCTCCCCCTCCCTCTCTGTGTATCCCCAGGTTCGCCCGCGCTACTCGTTCAAGCGAGTGTTGACCCAACCAGGCCAATTTGAGGTACGCTGCTTCCTTGGTTGCTTGTCAGTCCCTTGTATCCAAGGTTCTTGCACCGCCCTTCCTTCCGGTTCTCCCACCCTGTCTAAGCGCGGCACACCGTCTCCTTAAAGACCAGGATTTCCCAAACGCCACGGACAGCTACCACTGTACGTGCAGAAGCAGGCAGTCTGCCATTCTGCCATCCCACACCCCCTCCTTCTCTCTCCTCTCTGCTCTCCCTCCCTCAGCTGGTGGACCAGGACTTCCCAAACACCACAGACAGCTACCGCCTGTATGTGCAGTGGTGTTTCAACCTGGTTTCCGCTTGTTTCGCCTGTCTCCCCTCTCCCCCCTCTCAGCTGGTGGACCAGGACTTCCCAAACACCACAGACAGCTACCGCCTGTATGTGCAGTGGTGTTTCAACCTGGTTTCCGCTTGTTTCGCCTGTCTCCCCTCTCCCCCCTCTCAGCTGGTGGACCAGGACTTCCCAAACACCACAGACAGCTACCGCCTGTACGTGCAGTGGTGTTTCAACCCGATTTTCCCCTAATTGCTCTGTCTCTCCTCTCCCCCCTCTCAGCTAGCGGACCAGGGCTTCCCAAACACCAGACAACTATCGCCTGTACATGCAGAAGCAGATGGTGTTATGTGCGTCATTTTCCCCCTCTCTCTCCCCCTCTCTCTCCCCCTCTCTCTCCCCCTCTCTCTCCCCCTCTCTCTCCCCCTCTCAGCTAGTGGATCAAGACTTCCCCAACACCACAGACAGCTACCGCCTGTACATGCAGAAGGCCACAGCAGCAGACATGAAGGAGACCGTGTGCCGCGTGCCCGATGCTCCATATGATGGTACGTGCCCCCAACAGTGTCACAGTGTCTACGTGGTGCGTTTGACGGTTGGTACATGCCCGCTACAGTGGTGTGTGGTTACCATGTCGTGGTGAACGTGCTTGGTTGCATTTGTTTATCACCCTAAGCAGCAGACATGAAAGAAACCGTGTGCCAAAAGCCCGATGCTCCGTATGATGGTATGTGGATGACTCCTGTTCTTGAGACCTTCCAAAACTAGTGCGTCCGAGCAGCACACGCCGGGTAAAACTCCACAGTTACCTAAAATTCCAACACTGCCGGATTGTTGAACTCCCTTCGTTTGCATTCGAATTTTCTGTTCTACTCCTTGCACTCCATATCCCCTCCCAACCCTCCACTCTAACCATGTCTACTCCCACACACACCTCCTAGATCTCTCCTTTGCCAATGTGGCCTCCCATGCAAAGGTTGCATATGAGCTTTTATAGCTTGTAACTCTAAGTGCGCACCTGCCTCAAAATCCCTCTCCCCCCCCACCCCCTCCCTTTCCCTTCCCCTCCCCCTCCCTCCCACCCATTCGTCCTCCCCAGACCTTTCCTTTGCCAATGTGCCCACGGTCGCGTATGAGCTTCCAGACGGGCAGTGAGTGGCTAGATGGGGTGTGGAGGGGTGGCGACGGATGGGCTGTAGTGGGGTGGGGTGGGGTGTGTTAATGTGCCCACAGTCTCCTAGGACCTCCCAGACGGGCAGTGAGTGGGGTGCGGGAGGGTTATAAGATAGTGAGGACTGTAGGAGGAGAAATGGGAGGGCAAATGGGAGGGCAACAATGCGCCCACAGTTGCCCAACGAGCTTCCCAGTGGTCTGTCGTGAGAGGGATGAGCGAATTTGCTGAGTGTTTTTTAGAATTCTCAACAACACCCTGTGGTGGGTACGACGAACACTATGATTTTTGGAGCTGAGGGAGTAACGGCCACTTGGAGTAACGCAAAGTGAACTGAGGGAGCTGTTAGCTGTTTGGCGACGGCTCTGGCTGCTTTGTTTGTCATCTTGTTCGACGTTGTATTCTCTCTCCCCTTTTGGGTCTTGAAGTCTGCCCACCTACAACGCCCTCCTCCTTTGTACCCCCATAGTGTTGGAGGTGGGAAGGGAAGCGATCTCTTCAAAGTTGCTTGCCGATACTCTTGTCTCAACTCAATGCTCTGGATAGAATCGTTCTTTTCTTTTCTATCTTGTTCTTCTGGCTAATTTGTTTCTTCCCATCCAGAGTGTTGGAGGTGGGAGCCGATCGCTTCAAAGTGGCCGATGCTCTCTTCAACCCCACCCTGCTCTCTGTAAGGCCTGTGTGGTAATATTCAAGTTTTGAGACGTCTCAAAACTTCATTATTGTCACATTTCGACCCCACCCTGCTCCCTGTAAGGCCTTGTTGTGAGAGGCGTTTGATCTCTGAGTTCTTGGTCCACTTTAAATCTGAGAAACAGTCAAGAACTCAGAGATCAAACACAAAGAACTCAGAGTCTAAATCCTCTTCCCCTCCTTGTGTGGCCAAACACAAAGCCTGGAGGTGGCCATTCAGCTTCGGGCAACTGACCATCTGAGAAACGGTCAACACCTTCCATCCTCTCCCCCTCCTTTCCTCTGCCTCCGTTTCCATCACCCCCTCCTTCCTCGCCTCCCTCCCCTCTCTTGAACTACTCCCCTCCAGTCAATCACTTCAGACGACTCCTCTAATGGCGGATGGACAGCAGATGCCATTGCCGAAGCAGCCAAGTCGCCAGGGATAGCGAGAATGGTAGGGGCTTGGGGTAGTATAAATGTCTCCTTTCCAATAAGGTCTAGTGTGTGTGTTCTTAGGTCATGTGCTCGTTTTGATGCTTTTTGTTTGCTCGGAAGAACATCAGCAGGTTTGGTGATTGATGTCACCATGTGCCTGTCTTCCTCCTGGTTTTCCAGGTGGTAGACAGACAGCATCAGCATGTGGCGTTGACATTTGCAAGGATCTCGAAAGCTGTGTGCCGGTTGTTCTCTCCTTACCCCTGTATCCTCCCTTTCCCTGTGCATTTCTCCCCTCAACTCCCCCCCCCCCTTCCCCCCCCTCTCCCTCCCCGTTCAGGTGGTTGACAGCATCAGCAAGTGTGATGTGGATATTCGTAAGGATCTCTACAGCTCTGTGCTGGTGAGAGCCTTACATTTAGCTATTGTAGAGTATGGTGGTGCTGATGGTGAGGTGGCCTGATTGAGTGTGATGTGGATATTCGCAAGGATCTCTACAGGCTACAGCTCTGTGCCGGTGAGAGTCCGTGCAGAGCTTGGGTTGCATCTCAAAGTCTGTACACCTATATATCATGAATGAAAGGCAGTACGCCAAATTGTTATTACAGCTGGCTTGAGAGCTTGGAGTGCCAAAAAAAAATAGAGATGTAGCTTGGAGCTTGAGGCTTGGATTGTTTAGAGCTTGGATGAGTGCCATCAAATTTCATATGGAGAGGTGGCAAAAATCGGAATTATCCCTATGACTGGGCGCTAGGAAGGAGCATCTAGCTGTATGCTATCCTGGGTAAATGGTGCCACTGCATTCAGCTGTGTTCTTGATTTTCTCTTAAGTTAAGTTGGGCTAAACCTTGAAGTGCCCCCGCCCCCCTTTTTTTCTTTTGTCCCCTTCATTACCCCATCATTCATCCCTGTATATGGGCCTTGTAACATCACAGCTGTCAGGAGGCACCATGGCAATGCAGCAAATCAAAGAGCGCTTGGAAAAGGAGCTCATGGCGGTAAGTCTAGATCACAGCAAATATGGGAGAATGGATTGGCTCTGGAAGGATATGGAACCGTATCTCCTGCTCCTGCAGTTTTTCTCCCCCAAAGCACTGTTGCTTGGTGGTTTTCTTGGTGCCTTGCTTTTGACCATCATGCCACCCTGTTTACGATTCCGTTTTGATTCACATGTTTTGGGGATTTCTTTGTTCTTGTGAATGGCCGCAGGAGGCCCCCCAAGCAGCAAAAGTGAAGGTTTTGGCCAGCGGGAATGTCGTGGAAAGGAAGTTCAGGTGTGGCATGCTTAACCATATTGTGCCGATATTACGATTCCTTTTTTTGTGCTTGTTGAGACTTGTTTACTGTTATGCCCTAACTACTTTCATTGCTCCACAGTGTATGGATTGGAGGCAGCATTCTCGCTTCCTTGGGTTCATTTCAACAAATGTGGCTCTCCAAAGCAGAGTGAGTGGAATCATGTAGTGCAAGGGGTTTCAGCATGCTGTGTCCTGGTTTCACTACCGGTTATGTTTCTGACCTGCTTTCGCATTGGATTTGCAGGTATGAGGAGCATGGAGCAGCATATGTCCATCGCAAATGCCCGTAGTATATGTCAAGTCATTGTTTCATAAGGCTCCACATAGTCTTGATTGGGTTTCTAGTCTTCTAGAATCTACTCTTATGTACGTCTACTAAAGAAGCAAAGACTTTCTATTGTCTGAGGTGGTTTCGCAACTGTAGCGAGCCCCCAGACTTGGGGTCAGTCCTGGGCAGAAATCCACCAATGATGTACGACGACGACCCTGAAGTCTCCCGCCAAGCACCTTTGGGTCAGTCCTGGGCAAGTGCTCCGCGGTGGAGGGAATTGCTTCATCTCCCCCGATCTCCCTCCACCCCACCGAACACCGCTTCCGCCATTCCCCCTGCCTCCACCGCCACGACCTTCAGCTCTGCCCGCCCTCCGCCGTTTTCCGCCGTCATCCTCTTAGTTTCCGAATCTAGAGCGCGGCGGTCTCAAGGGACTGGGTTGACTACAGGTGCTTGCTGCTGCTGATTCCAGCCTCCAGTCTTCTATTGTACTGTACTGCCACTAGACTTTTCACTCCAGTTCCAGTTCTCTAGGTCTTCCGTTTGGCTGGCGTGAGCGAAACGTTGCGAATGACTGACTGACTGGCTGATAACGCAGCCGTAGACAGCCAATGGCTGACTAACCTTGCTGTCTTACAGGTAGCTAGAGCGGTGGGTTGCCTGCTACGGCTCTAGTAGATACCACGAATCGCAATTATCACTGGTTCGGCTCGGCTTTTTAGAACTTTGCAGAAACGAAAGGCTTAACGCGCGCTAGTTTTTGCGAGTATCCCGAAAGCGGTTAAGTGGCGTGAAGAGCCATGGCGACGGTTTCGTTGCATGTGTACGACATCACGAACAGCCCGAATCCCAAGACGAACAACGCCATTCTTCAGATCAACAGAGTCACCAAGGACGCGCTGGGGATCGGCGGGATCTTCCACGGAGCCGTCGAGGTGCGTTGTGCTTGAACAGGACCCGAACTTGTTCTTTTGGTTCTATAGGAGCCTTGCAGTTGGAAAATGGCCTACGCAGCATCGAGCGTGCTTTGTTAGTTCGTCTTCCAGGCAGCCGTAGAGGTGCGTCTTTCTGTTAAATCTGGACCCAGACTTGGCAGTGAAATCGCGTTTGCGGGACATTTTGAGAATGATCCAAATACACCTGCAGCGAGGACGTCTTCCGTGTCGTAGAGTCGCGTTATGAATGAAGCGTGACCCGAACGAGTTCTGCTAGCGCGTAAGCACGATCCGAACGTGCTTTCTTGGTTCGTCTTTCATGGAGCTGTAGAGCTCATCTTCTGCTGAAAGCAAAAGGCCGGAACGTGTTTAAAAGTTCCTCACAAGCCAGGAGATATGGTCCTCTCGCGTTGAGAGGTCTAGGAGTGAGAGGCGGGTTGAAGTCGTGACTAAATCGGGGGGCATAGCGACCATTGGCTTTAGAAGAACCCAGTGTTTTTGTATCTCCATCCTTAGTAATGCCTGCTGTTTGTGTATTCCCCTCCCATTCTCACCCTTTCGTTACCTATCCTCTGTGATTATCATTTTCTATGCATTTCTCTCTTAGCCTTGTCTTCCTACTTCCTTTCTTCCCTTCCCTTGCTCCTTGCCGGTTTCCTGTCCTTCCCGGTTTCCCTGCTCCCTTTTAAACGTTCGCTTCCATACAAGTCAGATTCATGGCGAAGAGTGGTCGTTTGGCTACTGCGAGCGAGGATCAGGGGTGTTCAGCTGTCCTCCTAAGGCGAACCCCATGTACACATTCAGGGAGACGATAGAGATGGGGGTCACGGGCATGGGGGAGCAGAAAGTGAGGGAGCTGCTCCGAAGACTCAGCAAAGAATGGCCAGGACGCTCTTATGACATGCTGGCGCGAAACTGCAACCATTTCTGCGACGAATTTTGTCAAGCGCTTGGCGTTGGCCCTACTCCAGGTGAGACTGTCAGCTTGAAACTTTTGAGAAAAAAAAAGAACAAAATAACTTTGAAATTAGGTTGGGATACCGGCGGGAGAATGGCAGTTAAATCAGAACACGTTTGTTTAGGGTAGAATTGGACCAGCCATTGTTGTGACCTCAGTCCCCTCATACTCTGACAAATTTATCTCTGCCACTGTGTATTAACTGAACTGAAAATGCTTGTGCCACTCTGCTGCAGTCTGGGTGAACCGCTTTGCTTATGCTGGCGATGTGACATTGGAATTCTACGATCAAGCATCAACACAGGTTTGTCCACTTCCACTTATTCTCCTCTGTTTGTACTCCTTATTGTGTCTTGGACTTGTCAGTTTCTATCTTCATCAATTGTCCTGTGAAGTAAGCAATAACCCCTCTGTTCCTTGTTTCTGTTGGGTAAGAGTTTTTTTCATTCTTTTCTTCCGTCATTGTCTCCCTGCCTCCACACTGCTCCTCAGCTCTCGCAATGGCATGACCTCCATGTTCCAGCTCAGGTCCTTCGCGTACAAACACCACGAACGCCACAATCTACTCTTTCATGTACCTTCCCATTTTTTACTCCCTGCCTCCACTACTATTCAGCTCTCTCAATGGCGTGACTCCGTGACCCAGTTCAGCTCCTTCACGTACCAATATCTCTTTGGTCCACCACAAACGCCACAAATTACAGCATCTGCATCGCTCCCAGCTATGCAGTCATCGCCTTCTTTGAATGGTGGAAGTGGAGTCACTGCGTCAAAGAGCATGGATGCGATGAGGGAACCCAGGGAAGGGGATGGATCACCCTTGCTCGCTGCTGATGGGAATAGAGAAGGCAACCGAGCATCCTTGCCAGTGTTTGCTACAGTGGAGGCTTCTTCAAGAGCTCAAAGTTAATATTCTACAAGGCTCATTCTGAGATTTTAATCAGGGCTGGGTTCATTCTACTACATGGAGCCACGTTGAAGCCAATAGGCTGGTGAATAAAGTGGAATGTGGATGTAAGTTTTTTATGTTTCTTGGGCATTTTAGTGTCGATCTTGTTGTGCTACGTCTAAACCGCAGCTAACGGATAGTGGCAATTGCTCTATGTCGCAGTTTTCCCGCCACCCGGGCTTCTGACAAAGACACACGGCGAGGAGCTTGAGAAACCAATCAGAGTGGTCGGCGGGGTGGTGTGGTGTGATGTGAGGAGCAGATGAAGAACCTGAACCTCATTTGACGGTCCAGATTCACGACCTCATGTGCTTGTGTGACCTCCCACCGCCGATTTTCCCGCCTGCTGCTCGTGGTTTTCCAGGACTCGATTCATCTGTAAAGCTGCTCCTGAAGCTCGTCATACGGCCTGCATCACATATCATATTCCTCAGTACTTCATAGCTGCTCCTAAAGCTTCTCCTGCTGTGTTGCCCCATATAATTTCTGTTAACTGCTGGTCCTCCCAATATCCTTGTTACCTTCAAGCCGTCTAGCTTACACCGAACGTTTCAGTAGAACGAAGGCAAGCAACTCTAACGAGCGTCGAGAAACTCGCTACTAACACAATGATCGGCCTTGAGTCTCTTTTCGGGCTCAGCGAAGCCGGAAGTTTTCTATGGACTGGCCAATTTCCAATCGCGAGCATCATTGGTCTCGTCGCGGTCGTTCTCACAACAGTCGGGTAGGTACCAGGTACCAGACCCGACGACTCTACCGTGCTATTACTGTTCATCATTGGACATTCCTCACTCGTAGGCGTTCTTTCACCGGCCGCGGAGGTTCTCTCAACAGTCAGGTACATTTCTGAGGACTCCCTGAGGCTGGCGCGAAAGTTCGCTCTGGCGTCACTTTTAGCCATGGCGGACCTCCTGGCATGTCCAGGCAAACCACACCCTACGACACCCCTACACCAGACCCGGTTCTACTTTTGAGACGACTTCTCAAAAGCCAGACCCGGTTGTACCGTGCTTTTTACTGCGAGTCAGTGGACAATTTTCAATCGCGAGCATTCCTTCACTGGTCTGGTGGTTCGCACGACAATAGGGTACGAGTAAATAGACACTACCAGATTTGACATACCAGGCCCGGTCGCATATTCGCTCATGTTCCGATTTCCTTCGTCCCTTCACGACCAACAGGGTTGTCCTCTAGCCTCGCTGGGCTATCCTTAGGTGAACTCAAATTTCTGACGTTTCATGCTTTTGAGTCGACTTTTTACTTTTGAACCGACTCAAAAGTCAGCTCCTTAGGTGAACTCAACTTTCTGATGTTTCATGCTTTTGAGTCGACTCAAAAGCTTGTGAATTGGATATCTGACGTTTCATGGCTATCTCTTGCCTTGGCTCCCCTTCACCGCCAACAGGGTTGTCCTCCAGCCTCGCTGGGCTATCGCCATCAGCCGTCTCTTCCAGCCAGCAGTGCTCTTTGAAATTGACACCAACGGTAAGATGTGAGACACCAAGGTACGACACTTTCCATACACGACTCTGCAAACCTTCGCCATGACCCCCGTTTCCCTTCCATGGCACGTCGCCACAATCTCATACTCACCAATCTGCCACTAACCCGCCTCCTGTTTCCGAACATCTGACCTGACCTGACTGTCCCACCTTCTGACCTGCCTTAGCTTCGCCTTCAAACAGAGAAAATCGTTGGCCTCACATTTGACGATGGACAGAGCTGCCTTTCGTCCTCACCTCCCTCTCCCTGTCATACCACCCATGTTGAACGTTCTCCTCTGCCTGAATTTTTTAGTCGACTCAAAAATCACTCAAAAATCATTTTTGAGTCGACTCAAAAATCACCTCCCTCTCCCTGTCATACCAACCATGTTGAACGTTCTCCTCTGCCTGACCTTCAACCCCTTTCAGAGAAAAGCGTCGGCCTCACAATGGACGATAGATCAACCTTTCTCTTTTTCACCTCCCATGTCCTGTGGTCTGACCCGCTTTCTCCCACCCTTGTACTTTCCCTACCCTCAGAGAAAATCGTTGGCCTCACAATCGACGATGGCCCCAATGGGAAGTTCACCAGTGAGGTAGGCTTTTCTTTGCTTTTGAAACTGAGGGAGGGGAGAAGGGAAGGAAAGAAGCTTCCGTTTCTCGTTTCTAAGAGTTTTGCAGCGAGTGGAGCTCACGTCTCTGAAACGAGCAGCCAGGTTGCAATGGAGGCATTGTAGTCAGATTGTGTCAGAATGTGTCAGAATGTGACAGGATTGTGTCAGAATTGTGTCTGAAATGGAGCACGCGTCCAATCTCTGTTCTTCCTCATTGGTTCCCAATTGTGGGAGTTCTGACACATTTAAAACTCCCTCTTTTGCTTCTCCCCCCTTGCACTCAAGCAGACTCTGGATATTCTCAAGGAGCAGTGGTGGTCCACCACCTTTCTTCCTCATCGGGTCCAATGGTTACATATTTGCTTAAAACTCCCCCTTTGTGCGTCGCCGCCCTTGTATTCAAGCAGACTCTGGATATTCTCAAGGAGCATGGCTGTTCCGCCACCTTCTTCCTCATTGGGCCTAACATTGAGAAATACCCCGACCTGGTGGAGCGCATGGTGCAAGATGGTATGTATGGTGCAGTACGAAGTGGTATGGTGTGGTGCAAGACGGTATTCTGGTTTTGGACGGTACGCCGCAGTGCAACATGGTCTAGTATTGACAAATACCCCGACCTGGTGGAGCACATGGTTCAAGACGGTATGGTGTGGTTCAAGATGGTTTGATGTGGTGCAACAAGTACGGATTCTCTGTATGTACTATCTGCTGACGTGGCATGTGTCATAGCTGACGTGTCTCTGGAACAACTTGTGTTTGCCCCCCAACAACAGGACATGAAGTGGCCAATCACATGATGGCGGACTATCCAGGCTGCCTGCTCTCCACCGTACGTACTTGTGCTTTTGTATCTGCATTCGTACTTGGGATGCAATGACAGTTGTATCACTCTGACGATTTCCGAGGCGCCTCAAAAATCGTCTCAAAAGTCGTCTCAGTTTTGTGTGGCCCCAAAAATCGTACTTGGGCTTTTGTATGTGCATCCGTAATTGTATTCGTAGTTGCATCACTCGTGAACATGGTGGCAGACTATCCAGGCTGTCTGCTCCCCGCTGTAAGTGTGTGTGTGCTCTTGTGCTCGAGTGCATGTCCTTTGCACACTCATGCTCGTACTCATACTCAATTGGTCCTATGTATTAGGTAGGGTAGGGTATAGGCATGGCAGCGGACAGCGCACAACAGGTGAGACCTAACAACCCAGGCCAGGGAACCTTAAGGGTCCCCCAGCCCCGGCTCTAACACATGCAACAAGTCCCCCACAGGGAGCGGAGCCGCCGGCTCACCCCACGGCTGCTCCTCAGCGGCGAGAGCCTCGTTGATCTTCGTGTTGAGGGCCACGGCTTGGCCCCGCTGCAGAGTAACCGACCATCGCTGGCGGTACTCGTGGAACAGCTTTGCGGCCTCCCGAGAGGTGGGAGCCGCCTGGTGGTGCTTGCGTGCTTTAACTCGGCGCACTGCTTGAGAAAGCCGAAGACGCCGGGCAAAGAGCAGCCATACGTCTCTGCTGCCATCGCAAAAAAGCCAACCCACTCCGCACGGGCCGGGGGGGCGGTACTTGTTCTCCTTGCCCCGGGCTGCCACACGAGCTGCCCAGCCAATCCCCTTACGAGCCAATGGATCATCCTGGGAGATGGGATCAGTCAGAGTGACGTCACACAGCCACACCGCCCCAGAGTCCGGGTGGCGGATGGCGACGTCCGCCCAAAGATTGGAGACCCGCGTGAAGAGATTGGTCTCCTTCCGCGTAATGAACCCCGCCTCAATGGCTATCCGAGCGCACTCGTCCCGCAGGGCGTGGTGCGCACCCGTCCGACCCGGCCCCTTGCGCACCTCAGGAGGTGGTTGGGAAGGCGGGGATCGTCGATGTCGGTACAGAAGGCGCAGTCACAGACGCCCGGGGTGGAGTGGGGGAGCCCCAGGCGGAATGCCACAGCGGTGGAGAAGTGTGCAGGGCCGAGGCGGAGGGAGGACGAGAAGGGGATGGCGTGCAGCCAGTCGTTTGCCCTTGGGCCCATGAACGAGAGCAGGCGCTGCGTGTGCCCCTGGAGCGGGTTGAGCGGCATGCGGCGAGCCTAGTCCAGCTGGAGCGTGAAACGCTCCGCCTGCACCTGCAGCGCCAGCGCCCGCTGAAGCTTGGGCGGGTCTGGCGAGGTGCGCTCCTGGCGCAGAAGGTCTGCCGCAGAAGGCGGCAGGGAGCTCTCGAGAATGGCGAGGCGGCGGGGGGAAGGCGTGGGGCCTGCGGGGATCGGGGTTGAACTGCCCCAGCAGGTGGGAGATGGCACTGGGTAGCGGCGGAAGGCTGCCCAGGAGATGAGCTGTAGCAGCGACAGAGGCCAGGTAGCTCGACGCCGCCTCCGCAGCAGGGTTGGTGATGCCGAGCCCGCCGAGGGTGGTCGAGAGGGGCTCCTGGTCCCACACGCGCCTGCGCTCCTGGCGACCCCGCGGCAACGGCAAACGACTTGCCAACAGGGCCGTGTGAAAGAGGCCCTCCCCCCAAGCATCCCACTCGTCCAGAGGAAGCAGCTCGAGCGGCGTGGAGCTCAGCAGGTAAGCCACACGACGGGAGACGCAGCGGGTGAGAAGCTGCAGGGACAGCTGGGGGTCCATGCCCGCTAGCAGCGGCAGCGGAGCGGCAGCAGATGAGAGGCGGGCGTGGAGGGCGGCAGAGCAAGCGGCAGGTGGGCCGACGGGGCTCCCCAGAACCTTGAGCCCCGCGGTGCTCAAGGTGATACCGGCGGGAAGCTCCGTGGCTGAGGTAAGTGCTGGGCCCCACGCGTCGCACTTCGCGGGGTTATGACGGAGCCCGCACCCAGCAATGGCGGCGGTGAGGTGATCGAAGGCGGCAGTGCAGGCGGCCGGGGGGCCCAGCAGCGTGACGTCATCAGCGTAAGCGAGAACGACGACATCAGGGAAGGCGGCTGCCGTGGCGGCGAGGCTGGGGTGAATGCCGGCGGCGAAGAGGAGGGGCCCCAAGAGGTCGCCTTGCCGCACGCCGCGCGCGATGGTCAGGGGCTCCGCCTCGAAGCCATGGTCGATGCAGAGATTTGAGGGCGCACCGTAGGAGAGGCGGACGAAGGGAATCAGGAGCTCATACTCACACTTATAGCCGGACTCGAATGATCCCATCCCCCGCTGTATTTTGAGTCGACTCAAAATACAACTGGATCAGGAACTCATACTCACACTTATAGCCGGACTCGAATGTTTCCATCCCCCGCCAACCCCTCCCCTCCTCGTCTTTCATGCTGGAAGCGACGCCAAGCAGGACAATCCCTTTCTTCCACTCCCCCCCTCCTCCCCCTCTCTCCCCCCCTCTTCCCCCCCACCTCCCCCCCACCTCCCCCCCTCTTTCCCCCCTCTCCCCCCCCTCTTCCCCCCCACCTCCCCCCCTCTTTCCCCCCTCTCCCCCCCTTCTTCCCCCCCCCCCCACCCTCCTCCTCTCCTTTCTCCCCGAAGAAGCAGTTTACGTCCCCTAATCCATGCTGGAAGTGGGTGCTAAGCTCCACCGCTTCTTCCCTCTTCACCTCCTCTTTTGCTACTCCACAGAAACAGCCCCTCCTCTTTTTCCAGAAGCTTGAAGGGGACGCCACGCTGCTCCATCCCTACTTCCCTCGTCACATGACAACCCCTTCGTTCCACTTTGCCCCCCCCCCACCCCCCCTTGCTTCTGTTTTTCCCTACAGAAGCAGTTCATGGCATCGATGCTTGAAGTGGATGCCAAGCTCCATCGTTTCTTCCCTCTCGACTCCAATGGCCGTCAAGTTAAATGGTTCAGACCGGTACGGCTCTCTTTTTGCCTTAACTGTTTCAATCTCTTCAACCAGTATGGGTCGTGTGCTGGTAGCAAGGCCCTCTTCCTCTCGACTCCAATGCCCGCCAAGTTAAATGGTTGAGACCGGCAAGCCTTTCTAATCACGTTATGTTGCATATCTAGTCTAACGAAGGCTATGTTTCTTCTCTCCTGGCCTTTCACTTTCTTGCTTTCTGTTTCTTCCGTGACTATGCATGAGGAAACAGTCACAGAAGAAAAGGAATTGTCAAAAACTGTGCTGCATGCCTACGTCCTCATGCCACCCCAACCATGCCCCACACTCCCCTCTCCCTCCCCAACCATGCCCCTCTCCCCCCTCTTCCTCCCCACTTCCCTACCATTCCTAGGGCTACGGATTCGCTACCCCCCACATGCAGCAGTTGGCACACAGGCACGGGTACCAGCTGGCTCTGGGGTCCGTGTTTCCCCTGGATCCCCTCTTCAAGGGCTGTGGCGCCTTCCTTGCCCGCTTCTGCCTGTGGAAGGTGAGTGGGCTTCCTTCGCATGGCTCAAACACGGGCTAAAGAGTCCACCACAGTTGTATCCAAGAGCTGAGATCGTCCTTAATGGGCCCTCTTCCTCACCCACCATGCATCCACTCCTTCCTATTGCTCCCATGAACCCATGCAGATGTATCCAGGAGCCATCATCATCCTTCATGAATGCTCTTTCTAACACTCGCCACCGCACCATGCATGCATGCATGCACTCCTTCCCATCACTCCCATGCTTGGGTTTGAACCCCTCCCCATGCAGATGTACCCCGGAGCCATCATCATCCTGCACGACAGACCACAACAGGGACCCCAAACCAACCATGTGAGCTCCATGCTCGCTCTGCTTGAGCACATTCGTCCTGACATGTTCTTTGGACTTGACGTGCGTTCTCTGGTTTTAATATGAGGCATGTGTGCTTGCTTGCTGCTCCACCATAGCACTTCCTATCTAATTTCCCCCCTGCCTCTTGCGTGTGCTTCTCTGCTCGTTGTCCTTATTTGTCACTCCATGCCAACTTGCCACCTGTCCCTGTAACTCTTATCCAACGTATGGACCGCCTTGGGTAGATCCTGCGAATTTTGCTGCCCGAGCTGAAGCAACGGGGGTACAGAATAGTAAACCTGACTGAACTGGTGAATAGCGTAAAGCGCAAAGCGGAGGTTCAGGTGAACGGGGGGAAGCAGGACTAGAGCAAGTGAGAATGGCCAAGTGAGTGCATGATACTAGATCGGCCTGCTTCCGCATATATGTTTATCGTGTATTGTTTAGTGCAGCAGGTAGTAAATGAATTATGCTCGATATTTATCATATTTCAATGCAAATACATAAAATTCCTCTCCATGTCTCGTAGCCATCTATGTCCATTCATATTTCAAAGGCAGATAATCCTTAGTTATAGTCTGATTCACTTCTCTATAATTTCCGCCGCTGTGTAACATCGCCACCACTCTCGCCTGAGCGTCGTTAATCACGAAATTCCGTCCGCCTGTCGCAACCCTGAGATTGTCGCGGAGTCCCTTCTTCTGCTCCTCCCGCCATTTCTGCCGTTTTTCCCGCCAACAGCCCTAGACCCCTCTCACTGTTCTCTGACACACTGGATGCTGCCAGATTAGTCGCCTTCTCCCTTCTGCCTTCAGTCTGCGTAGCTTCGTCAGCCTTCTTCCTACCGAGTCCTGTGAAACCGTAGAGCATGAATTTTGCTCGAGAGTAAGGAGAGGCGAGTTTCAGCCGTGTTGCTGTTACGGTAAAGCGGACGGAAACTTGTCTGGAGCTGTACGACGATACCGTAACAGTTTTCGTCGCGAACGTCGCACAAGTTTGCCACGATGCTAGCTTCACCAGGCCATTCTCCGCGCCACGTCAGCTCGCCTCCTCCCACCTCCGAACCTCCATTACCGTCTTCCACTTCTAACGACTCCCCACCCGCGAAAGCCGGTTCAGCCAAATTCTTGCCTCTTACCGCCGCCCTTACAACCAGTACCGTCGCTCCTTCCGCCACCCCCCTTCGCGGGGAGCGGATGGGTCCGCCTCCCGCCAAGCGTCCGCGTCCCCGTCGCGCTCCCGTAGTTCTTGACGAGGACACTTATATCGAAGCGATCGAGCGGATCGTTCAGCGGGATTATTTTCCGGATCTCCCGCGGCTCCAGAACCGGCTGGAGTGGTTGGAAGCGGTTCGATCCGGTGATCCTGTTCAGATTCGTGAGGCGCAGGTGAATATCATGCGAAGGCGCGCGGAAGCTGCTGCTGCAGCTGGGGGGTCGAGCCGCGGGAGCGAGGGACGGAGTGAGCTAAGGAGTGGATTAAGGAGCGGTCGAGGCGGCTCGTCAGCGTCAGTTGCGGGTACGCCCCGCTCCTCCCTATCGACCCCCGCGCTTTCCGCGGGTGCGCCTAGTCCCGCTCCTAGCCTCTTATCCGAAGGCGATTTAAGGACGTCGGAATGGGATAGAGACGATACGTCCTTAGATGGGAGAAAGAGAGGCAGCAGGAGGAGATTAGAGGGGGAGGCAGCGGCGGCGGCGGCGGCGGCGGCGGCGGCGGCGGCAGTGGAAGGAGAAGGGGGGGATGGAGAGGGAGAGGGGGACGGAGGTCCCGATACAAGCCTATCTCTTGACGAGTTTGTCAAAAGGTACACTAGCGAGGATAACGCATCGTTCGTGGAGATTAAGGAGAAGGATAATCGCCGGCGCATGGCTAAGGTGGCGCATCTGCTGGCTTTAGAACAAGGCCCAGGGGAAGGGGGGGAAGGGAAAAAGGCTGGTATGGAAAAGGCTGGGACAAAGCAGCTGACTGCAGCAGGAGAAACGGTGAAGCTTATAACGGGTACGGGGGAGGATGATGATAGGAAGACGGACGGGTTTGGATCGTCGGGCCAGGCGACTAGTACACTCGAGACGTGGAAATACACTTCGCGTAATGCGCTTATGTACCCGGCTGCTTGTAGAGAGGATGCTCCGTTTTCCGTTAGAGAGAAGGAGCAGAGGTCCACAGGACCCCCTAAAGAAGTTCTTAAAACGAATACCAGGTTTCACGGTGCCGTTACAGGTGGTAACCAGGCGAAGCAGCAGAAGCCACCACCTGAGGAAATTGCCGCGGCACTGTTCACACCGTTACCTGGGGGTTCCCCTCTGCCTTATGTGGACCCTACAGGGGAGCGTGATGGGCGAAAGAGATACGATTTAGAGGATCTTAGGCGAACGCCTCTAGGGTTAGCAGCAACAGGAGCAGGAGGGGCAGGATCAGGAGGAGGAGGCGGAATGGGAAGAGGAGGAGAAGGGAGAGGGCAGCAAGCGGAGTATGACTATGTAGCAACCCCGTCGCCTGCTCCTGGTGTCGATGCGTCTCCCTTTATGACCTGGGGCGAGCTGGACGGCACGCCTCTACGCCTAGACGCTGAAGACACCCCAGTGGGCTTTAACGACCTAGGTGGTGCTGGTGGGGGTGGGGGTGGGGGTGTTGGTGGCCCGCATTTCACCATGGCTGCTCCGCCGGCGAGGGATGAGGCGGGTATCCATCTGTCGAGGTCGGCTGGGAGGAGTATTCGAGAGAGGAAGCTGCGTGCTGCTGGGCTGACACCAGTAAGGGGGGCAGGAGCGGGAGCAGGAGGAGGGAGAGGGGGGGTGATGTCTCCATTTGCATCTCCTGCTCCGAAAGGGACTCCTGGTGGTGCGTCTGCTGGTGGAATGGGCGCGTGGGGGGGGCAGAGTCCGTTGGGAAGCGGAGGAGGGGGACTAGGGGGGGCGTCAGGAGGGGGGCTGTCGGCCGCGGCTCAGAAGCTGGTGTGTCGGGCGCTGAAACGGAGCAAAGCGATTGTGGATCCGAAGCTCAGAGCGAGTTACTCGGCGTCGCCTGTAGGGGCGGGGAGTGGGGGGAGGGAGGGGAGAAGCAGAAGCAGAAGTAGAAGCATCGCTGGGACACCTGGGTCCGTTGCTGACTCTCCTGTAGTGGTGAGGTCGCTGAAGGGGACTGTGCTCAACCCTGCAGCCACCACACCACCACCATCCCATAGGAAATGACCAAGAGAGGGCGGGGGGGGATTGTCCTGTCAGCAGCAGCTCAGAAGCTAGAGAAGGAGCGTCGGGGGACACGGGGTTCTGTTGCTGACTCTCCTGTTGTGGTGAGGGCTTTAAAAGGGACTGTGCTCAACTCAACCCTGCAGCCACCACACCACCACCATCCCATAGGAAATGACCGAGAGAGGGAGGGGGGGAATTGTCCTGTCAGCAGCAGCTCAGAAGCTAGAGAAGGAGCGTCGGGGGACACGGGGTTCTGTTGCTGACTCTCCTGTTGTGGTGAGGGCTTTAAAAGGGACTGTGCTCAACTCAACCCTGCAGCCACCACACCACCACCATCCCATAGGAAATGACCGAGAGAGGGAGGGGGGGAATTGTCCTGTCAGCAGCAGCTCAGAAGCTGGTATCTCGAGCGCTGAAACCCAGCGAAGTGATTGTGGACCCGAAGCTTCGAGCTAGCTACTCGGCGTCTCCTACAGGAGCCGGGAGTGTGGGGAGGGAGGGGAGGGAGGGGAGAAGTAGGAGCAGAAGTAGGAGCATTGCATTGAAGCCTGACCAGAGCAGGAGCATCGCTGGGACACCTGGCCTTGGGTCCGTTGCTGACTCTCCTGTTGTGGTGAGGTCGCTGAAAGCGGGACAGTTCTCAGCTCTGCTGCCACCACACCACCACCATCCCATTGGAAATGACCGCGAGAGGAGGGGGGAAGGGGGAGGGGGGTGGGTTCGTCCTGTCAGCAGCGGCACAGAAGCTGGTGTCTCGAGCGCTGAAACGTGTGGTAGTATTTTCGTTTTGAGCCGTCTCAAAGTGATTGTGGATCCGAAGCGAAGAGCTAGTTATTCGGCTTCCCCTGGGGGGGTGGGGAGTGGGGGGAGTGGGGGGAGTGGGGGGAGTGGGGGAGTGGGGGAGTGGGGGGAGTGGGGGGAGTGGGGGGAGTGGGGGGAGTGGGGGAGTGGGGGGAATGGGGGGAGTGGGGGGAGTGGGGGGAGTGGGGGGAATGGGGGGAGTGGGGGGAGTGGGGGGAGTGGGGGGAATGGGGGGGGGAGGGGAGTAGGAGCAGGAACAGGAGTAGGCGATGGACAGGGAGACAGACGTTGCTGCAGCTTATTTTGAGGATTTATTTTTCCGGTGCATTCCATTTTTCAGGTGGTACTGCTGCTGCAACTATAGGTCAATACAAGCACAGAGCTGACTTTTGAGTCGACTCAAAAGTCACAGTAACTAGGTGGTGTACATGTGACGTGATCACGAGTTGCCAGGATGCAATGCAAACACAGTACCGCTCTGAAAGAGTCCATTGTAGAAGCTACGCCACATGAAGACGTACCATGCATAATGCCATGCAACCAGAACAGCCATGGATGGACTATTTCATTCACTGGAGCCATACAATACAACTCAACAGAGTTTCCTTTCCAAAGAATTCAGCGGTCGGGTTTTGTGCTGAGCCGAGGGGCAGCTCAACTCAACGTGTACATATGCCATTCTGTCACGGAATGCGCACACAACACTACAGTCAAAGTTGCGGCTACCCTTCACCATACACTGGCAGAAAACAGTTGCTACCGGTATTTTCCAGAGGCGCGTTCTCTATTCATCCACAACTTGCACCGTCCCATCTTCCTCATCTGAGTCTATCGCTACGATGACATCATCCCCTCCTCCGTTGCCCCCGAACTGCAGTAACCGCTCCCCACTCCCTCCAAACTCCAAACCAACCCCTGAAACAGCCTCCTCGTGGGCATAGATTGTTGAATCTAGTAGGTGTTCCTGTAGCTGATGGTGCTCATAACGAGCCATCCCCTCTATAGGGTCATGCGCATGCCCATGTACAGTCTCTGATGCATGACGGTGTGCAGTGCTTGGCATGTTGCCATGTCCAGTGGTATGATGAACATGCTGGTGTGGATTGTTGTGTGCCGCTACATGTGGGCCGTGCAACTGCACATGCGGATACATGAAAGTCTCGGCCATGGCGTGAGGGTGTGTTTGATGATGGTGCGGATGCATGTAGTACGGATGGGCATGGGGGTTGTGGTGATGGCTGCTCTCTGGATGATGATGATGATGATGATGATGGTGATGATTTTGATGATAGTCACCCTGGTATGCCATGGAATACCCAAATGTTTGTGCATGGAGCATCTCCTCTGCTTCCCCCCTCCTCTGCCGAACTCTCCTACCCCTCAAATTCCCATCCACCTCCTCCTCTCCTCCTCTCCCCCCTTCTGCATCGCTTTGCCCCTCCTCGGGCCTACCACCCCCTTCCACCGCATTCAACTCCTCCCGCCCGCCTTCCATTGCTCCTCGTGCACCAAGGTCAGGAATGTCACCCCACTGGTCTTGGGATGCATGAGGTGGGAGGGATGGAAGGGCACTAGTGGAGTGGTGAGGGTGAGGGATGGATGGAGGAGGAGGCAAGAGGTAATGCGAGGTTGGGTCTTGAAGATAGCCAAGATCGGATGGATAGCCGGATAAGGGAGCATGCTGGTACGCCGATGGAGACGGGATTTGGTGTTCTGACGAGGGTGCAAGCTGGGATGGCGCTGTGTGCATCGGTTGGTATGCTCCTGCTGGCTCTGCTGCTGTTGGGAGTTGGTACGCGGTTGATAGAGGGGGAGGGAGGAAGGGAGGGGGGGCCTGTGGAGCGATGGACACACGCGGGGGGTGATCAGGAAACTGAACTGACGTAGCGTGATGGTGATGGTGAGGAGAATAGCCAACAGACGCTGAGGGGGAGTGGTGATATAACGGGTGGGAAGGGTGGTGTAACGGAGGGTAGTCTGGATGGCTGTTGGGGAGATATGCGTATGGCATATGGGCTTGAGCAGTGTATGGGTGGATGTGGGTACTGTAGGCCAATGCGTGCTGCAGATGGTGGTGGTGGTGCTGCTGCTGCAGCTGCTGCTGATCGTGGCCCCGTATACCATGCTCCTGATCCTCCTGAGCATCCCCTTCCACATCTAATTCGTGCTCAAATTCTACCAGAGCATCCGCCTGAGCATTCACCTGAGCATTCACCTGAGCATCCTCCTCATGCACCTGAGAGGGCTCTGGAACTTCCTGGCCAGAATTCTCTGCACTCACCTGAGAATTCACCTGAGCATTCACCTGCTCTTGACCCCCCGAATCCAACCTATCATCATCCAATATCTCTCCTTCCAAACCTGCCCCTGTCACAAACCCTCCTCTGCTCGCCAAACCCACTTCACCACCCAAACCTCCTCCACTTCCCCCTCCCGTTCCCATGCCTGTCTCCTCTCCCCCTCCCTGCGGGTCTGCTACCAGCTGCACCTGGTGATTCAGCTGCCTCAGAACCCCCTTCAAGTCACCAACCACCATCACTTGCTCATGGCCTTCTTTCGTTAGAGTCTCACTCGTTAGAGCATCTTTTGTTACAGAATCGGCTGCTAGAGTCTCTTTCGCTAAAGGCTGCTCTGCATTATCCCTCACACCGTGCTCTCTGTTATCCCACACACCAGGAGTGGCAGCAGTGGCAGCAGCGTCGGATAGGTATTGTTGCTCCATCGAGCCAATTACAGGTCTGGATACCAAGCATCCCGACACCAAACCTGCTCGCACCGAAGCTCCCAACACCGAACCTCGTGATGCCGAGGTTCCTTCTGACACCGAGCCTTCTGCCCGTCCGTTTTCCTGCCCTTGTGCTGTTTCGTCTGGCCGTTCCATTGCAGCCTCGGCCCGAGCCTCGACCGTAGCGTCAGCATAGGTTTCAGCCTCCAAATCAGTCTGAGGCGACGGCACAAGTTCAGAGACACTAGCCCCCCTTCCTTTTCCTGCACCTGCCTCTGCTGCTGCATTTGATTTGGCTGCTGCTGCTGCTGCTGCTGCTGCCGCCGCCTCCTCGGACGCTGCTTCTGCCACTGCTGAGGCTGCATCCCCTGCTGCTCCGCGTGAGGCTGTATCCCCTGCAGTGGGTTGCACCGGTTCTTTAGCTGGTGCCACTGCTAGGGCTGTCGCTGCTGGTGCTGGTGCTTCTGCTTGAGCTGCTACTATTGTTGCTGCTCTTACTGCTGTTGATGTTGTTGCTGCTGCTGCTTCTGCAGCTGCTGACTCTGTGGTCTTCGTCCAGATTTGCACTGGATGTGGTTTCGCTGCACTACTTGTGGCCACTGCATTAACTGCTTGCTTCTGCTGCTGCTGTTGCTGCTGCTGCTGCTGCTGCTGCAGGCGTTGGGCTTCAGACAGATGGGAGGCCGTGGAAGAAGCAGGACGAGTCACAGTGGCAAGACCAGCAGCAGCCGCACCAGGAACAGCAGCAGGGGACAGAGCAGCAGCAGCAGGAGACGGAGCAGCCCTACCAGGAGCAGCAGTGGCAGCAGCAGGAACAGCAGCAGTGGCAGTGGCAGTGGCACGAGAAGTGGCCAAGTTAAGGACTGCCGCAACAGGGTTACTGACAGCAGCAGCAGCAGCAGCAACAGCCTTCTGCTGCTGCTGCTGCTGCTGCTGCTGCTGCTGCTGCTGTCCCAGCCCTTGCACGTGATGCCGAACCCGCGGTTGTTGCTGCTGCAAATGCTGCGAATGTGCCTGCTGCTGCTGCTGCTGCTGTAGCTTCTGTGGTTGTGGTAATCGTGGCTGTTGCATCTGTGGTGGCTGTAGCTGCACCGGCTGTAGCCGCACTGGCCGTAGCTGCACTGGCTGTAATTGTGGCGGCTGTAGCTGTGGCGGCTGTAGCTGCTGTTGGAAGGTCTGCATAAACGACACTGAAGGCGCAGTTCCTTGCAACCTATACCTGGCCGCTCCTGCTACAACTCCTGATCTTGCTACAGCCTCTCGTTGTATTCCGTCCCCTGCTGATACCCCAGCCTGTGTTCCTGCTACAGCCCCTTCCCTTGGCACAAGCTCTCTTGTTCCTGCTACAGCTGTTGTTGCAGTCATACCCACGCTGATTCCTGCCTTGAACCCTCTTGCTACATCCACTCCTGTTCCTGCTACAGCTTGTGTCCGAGTCCCTGCTACAGCTGGCACTGCAGGCACACCCACGCTGGTTCCTTTCTTTGGCCCCCCTCCTGCTACAGTCCCTGCTTTGCTAGTTTCCCCAGCAGCCCTTACTGCTACAACCGAAGCTGCAGGTACACCCACGACTCCTCCTGCTACAGCTCCTCCTCCTAAAGATCTTCCTGATACAGCTCCTCCTGCTCCTCCTGCTACAGCTCTTCCTGCTACAGCGCCTCCTGCTACAGCCACCCCAGAAACAGTTCCTGCTACATCTCCTACTGCCACGATCTCTCCTGCTACAGCAACTGCTGCTACAGCTGGCCCAGCTACAGCTCCTGTGACCTGAATCCCTTCTCCTGTTCCCTCTGCTACAGCCCCTCCTGCTACAGGTGCTGCTGCCCTAACCGCCGTTGTTGCCGCTTTTGCTATAGCTCCTCCTGGCACAGGCCCTGAAATGCCCCTCGCTGCTGCTTCTGCCGCTACAGCCCCTCCTGCTACAGCCCCTCCTGCTACAGATGCTGCTGGCCTGACCGCGGTTGTAGCCGCCTCTCCTACAGCTCCTCCTGCCACAGGCCCTGACATGCCCCCTGCTGCTGCTGCTGCTGCTGCTGCTGGTGCTACAGGTGCTAGTGCTACAGGTGCTAGTGTTACAGGTGCTGTAGCCCTCGCAATACTCACCTCTGTTACTTTCACGCCACCTGCCACAGCACCAGCTGCTGCTGTAGAGTCTCCTGCTACAGCTCCAGTTTCACAGTCAAGCAGCATCTCCTCCCCCTGCGCCTGTGATCCGCCCCTTCCCCTTCCCCTTCCCCCTCCCCCTCCCACTCCCCCTCCCCCTGCCGCTATGACTGCCCCTACCCCTGCCCCACTCCGCCCCCCTTTCCCTCCCCCTCCCTGTCTCCCCCCCGCAACCCCCCCCCTGCCCTGCGCCCCTGTCCTTCTCCGCTCCGCAATACCCTCTTCCCCCATGGCTTCCCCCGAAATGCTCTGCTCCCCCCCCCGCCCGTCCGCCATCTCTGCGCCAACCTGCGCCTCTGCAGCGCCTAGCGCCTTCAGCGCAGCCTCTAACTCCGCCAACCTGCTTCCCCCCAACCCGCCACCCCCAGCGATGGCTCCCCTTATTCTGCTCCCGCCAGCTCCGCCGGCTCCTGCCGAAATATCCGCGTTTCTAGCGTCCTCGGCAACGTCTCCTATATTCAGGGATCCATCAATAAGTGCGGTTAATATGTGATTCGACGAGTCGATTAACCAATTGACTACACTAGACGCCGACGCGCGTTTGATCTTACGCCTCCCTAGTAGCTGCTGGAGCCGGAAAAAGCGGTCCGCAGTATCCGGGTTTAACCTAATCATCGTGTTCTTCCCGCCTGATGCTTTCTTATGCCGGTCTTTGCTGCGATCTGAGCTTTTGCTTCGATCTGAGCCGTTCGTTGGTCGACGCGCAGGATTAGACGAGAGCGGCGCGGCTCCGGTTGCTGACGTGGACGGGGGAACGACGGGGTTCGCGGCGAGGATGCTCGGAGGCGGGAAAGGGGTAGCCGAGGCTGGAGCAGCAGCAGAAATGGAGGCAGAGACGGCAGTGGCGGCGGTGGCGGCTATGGCGGCGGCGTTCGCGGCGGCAGCGGCGGAATTGCGAGCAGCCCGCTTGACGTCCATAGCGGTAAGATTCTCACCCGAAGAAGATAGTGGGGATTAGGGCAAAAACCGTCTCGGTTAGGGCAGTCGTGGACATGGACTATGGGTGATGCCTTGTGCGACGTTGGGCGACGCAGGGCTGCCAAAACACGAAGGTAGCGACTGTGAGATGCAAACCTTTATCGACCATATGTAATATTCGACGTTACGGGCATTTGCGAAATGCTGTTTCCAGCTGCCTGACGAATAACGCGACGGTGCTGCTGAAACATTTGTGCCACCTGCAATGACTCCACTAACATATTTTCGCCATCCACATGTTACCCTGAAGGAATTGCTTCGCAGAAGCGGCACTAGCGAGATATTTCTTTCTGCGACATCGGAAAATGCGAAGTGCTTCACCCATCTTGTTTGGCTCTCTGTCGCTTTGAGTTGGCGAAAGCGGCAGATCCAGTGTGTCATGCGACTGACGAATACCATCTTTCGCGAGGACTTGCCCATCGCACTCGCTCACTTTTGGGAATGCCGCACGGTTGCGAGGAAGTGACTGGAGCCAGGCCAGGCCCTCACGACTGTTAGCTCCTGTAAGGCGCGATCATCAAAACCGCGAATCACAATGATCTCACCAATTGCACCCCGAGTCGCAACGGACGGAAACATGAATATGAGCTTGGATCAAGATGCAGCGAATTTTAACGAAATCGCCGAAAATCAAATGCTCCCGAAATCACATTCAAAAGCAGCTGCTAGCTCTTCCACCTTCCCTAAAACTAAGCACGAAGCAACCCTTCTGCTCCTGGAAACGCGTCCTCGAAGTCTGAGGTTTAGTTTTATAGAATGATCCAAGCCCAATGCTCCTTCCAAATTATTGGTTCCTTTTAATTTACCTAGCTCATTGATTATGCCGCTGGTCTCAAATCTTTCTAGACTGCTTTGCCTAGAGAGTGAGCTTCCTTTAGCTTAGCCAAGCTTGCGAGCTGCCAAGAGTCGGCCACATGCTGAACTGCGTGAGAGGAAACGCATTGCTCCACGTCAGCATTCTCGTTTCATCTTTAATCTTAATTAGTGTTTTGAGGTTAACACTGTAGCTGATGGAGCAAGTCCATTGTCCTCGTCTAGGCCGGAGCTTGATGGCATCCAAGAGCTTAACTCCCCATGGGACGCCGATTTCGGGCTCAATTGCAGCGAATCCCCTGCTTTCACATTCCTTATTTCTGGCGAAGCGCGGCGGCCTTGACCCTTGTCGTCGCTCACTAGCTCGTTCTGTGGTTAGAGGTTCACTAGGCCTTGCAGAGAAAGGAGCGTCGTCGATGAAATTAGGAGCGAGAGAGAGCTATGCGGCTCGACCCTTGCCATCTAAGCTCGTCGCAACATCTGTCGTACCAGCTGGTTTAGGCTTTTCACTATCGTTCGGTCGGGTAACCCGAAGAGCAGCAGCGTCAGCGGTTGTAGCCGCTGCACGGCAAACTGTCACCCGCACAGCCGCTACAGCTGTCACCTCTGCAGTCGCGTCAGAACGAATATCAGCCCCATTTGCAGCAGCTTCACTCGCGCCAAGAGCGCCAATTGCGCCGAGAGCGGTGATCGGGGAAGTCCTGGGGGGGATATTCGGCGGAACGAGCCCCGCGGAGAAGACACGTCAGCAATACGCGGAGCAGCTGGCGCGGGTGAACCGGCTGGAACCGATCGCCTCGAGACTGTCGGACGCGCAGCTGAGAGGGACGACCAGAGACCTGCAGCAGCGAGTGCAGGCGGGAGAGAGCCTCGATAGCGTGCTCCCGGTAGGGTCACTTTGTGTCTGGTGTCTGGAGTGCTCCTGGTACAGGCTCATGTATATTGTAGCCGATTTGAGTGCCTTGATAGCCGTGTGAGTGGTTGGCGGAGCAACTGGCGTGGGTGGACCGGATAGAGGCGATCGCCTCGAGACTATCGGACGCCCAGCTGCGAGGGACGACCAGCGACCTGCAGCAGAGAGTGCAGGGGGGAGAGACCCTCGATAGCGTGCTCGCAGTACAGACACTTTGGATATGATGTCTTGTGCGCTACTGGTATAGTCCCTTAGGATGTCTTGTGTGCTGCCTCGATCGCCTCGAGACTGTCCGACGCCCAGCTGCGAGGAACGACCAGAGACCTGCAGCAGCGAGTGCAGGGGGGAGAGGCCCTCGATAGCGTGCTCATGGTACGGCACTTTGCGTCTGGTGTCTCGTGTGCTCCCGGTGCAGACATATGTATATGGTAGCCGATTTGAGTGTCTTGATAACCCGTGTGAGTGGTACTCGGAGCAGCTGGCACCAGGTGCTCCGTGGTAGCCTGTGTGTGTGAGTGTTCAGTGGAGTGCCTGCCGCTGGTATGATCATGTATGGTGTCTTGATAGCCAGTTTCTCCGTGTCACGCGGAGCGGCTGGCACGGGTGAACTGGCTGGAGGCGATCGCCTCGAAGCTGTCGGACCGCCAGCTGCGAGGGACAACCAGAGACCTGCAGCAGCGAGTGCAGGGGGGAGAGACCCTCGATAGTGTTTTCCCGGAATAGTCACTTTGGATATGATGTCTTGCTGTAGAGTCTTCCCTCCAGAGTGTGCTCCTGGTATAGTCACTGGGGCATGTGCTACTGCTGAGATAAGTCTTACGCTTGTTTTGTTTTTGTGTAAATCCTTTCGATGCTGGAGATGCTTTAGAATTCAGTTTGCGTATCGATGTGCTTCCTTTTTATTTCACATTCACCACTCCATGTGACCCGTGGCAGGAAGCTTTTGCTGTTGTTCGAGAAGCTTCCAAGCGAGTTCTCGGCCTCAGACCCTTTGACGTCCAGCTCATAGGTACAGTCTAAGGAGGAGACGAGAGAGGGAGGGTGGGGGGGGGGGGGGGGGGGGTGGGTTGGAAAGGAGAAACGGGGGGGAATGCGCAAGCACCCCCGCTCCTTGTTCACTCACTCCCCTCATATCGAGCGGCACTCTTATTCACAGCCCCTTTTCTGAACAACCCTCTCAACAACCGTCTGCACATTGTCCTGCAGCTAGGAATTTCACATCGTACATTAAGGCTCGAAAGACTATCTGTCCCACTTACCTTCACGTTCCTACCTGTGAGGACGTACTCTCTCTCTGTTAGCGCATGTTGGAAACCTTTCTGCCTGCCACGTGTCACGTGGATACACCTGGACATGACAGGTGGCATGGTGCTGCACGATGGGCAGATTGCTGAGATGCGGACGGGGGAAGGGAAGACCCTGGTGGCAGTGCTGCCAGCCTATCTCAACGCTCTCACAGGTGAGTATGCACGTGCCTGTGAATGTGTGTGTGTGTGTGTGTGTGTGTGTGTGTGTGGGTGTGTGTGTGTGTGTGTGTGTGTGTGTGTATGCATGTGTCATGTGATATCCTAAGGGGTGACACTGACATGGTGCTGCATGATGGGATGGGCAGCTTGCTGAGATGAGGATGGGGTGAGGGAAGACCTTGGGGGCAGTGCTGCCTGCCTACCACAACGCTCTCACAGGTGTGGGTGTGTGTGTGTGTGTGTGTGTGTGTGTGTGTGTGTGTGCGTGCACGTGCGCGCATGCGTGTGTGTGTGTGTGTGTGTGCGTGTGTGTGTGTTTGTGTGCGTGTTTGTGTGTGTGTTTGTGTGCGCGCATGTGTGTGTGCGCGTACATGTGGGCGTGTGCAACTCACTGCAGAGTAGGTGGGGCAAAACCCCAAGTTGCTCCGCCTCTCACCCACCCCCACTCAACCCCCTTCTCCCTCTCTTCTCGCCAGGCAGGGGCGTGCATGTGGTGACGGTCAACGACTACTTGGCGCGCAGGGATGCCGAGTGGGTGGGACAAATCCACAAGTACCTCGGCCTTTCGGTCGGCCTCATTCAACGTAAGCGCCTTCTTTTCAGATTGAATTGAATCAGTGTTAAGGCTTACCTTGTTCACAAGGCTCCAAGGTTCACAGCGTAGTTCAGCACTCCGGTTCGCGTGATAAATATGTTGTTTTGAGGCGTCTCAGCAGAGGAGCAAGAGTTACGCATATGATTCTTTACGCTAGTTTCTTGGCACCCCAATCAATGCCACAGGCAGAGGGCAGACCTTGTAGTGTCTCTTGTGCTGAAATGGCAGAGGGCATGACGGCACAGCAGAGGAGGGAGAGTTACGCGTGCGACGTTACATACGTTACCAACAGCGAGCTTGGCTTCGACTACCTGAGAGACAATCTCGCCACTGTGAGTAAATTTCCACTGTGAGTTTCTGTCCGTCCAAATGAGGGCCTGCCTATGTCAGATGAGTCCATGGTGTCGCAACTGCACAGCAGCACAGGCAGAGGGGGGAAAGAGAGTTACGTGTGTGATATGTATGTTGCCAGCAGCGAGCTTGGATTGGAGTACCTGAGAGGCAATCTCGCCACTGTGGGTGCCTGGGTTCATGAATCTTTCGTAGGTGACTTTTGAGTCGACTCAAAAGTCACCTACTGTGGGTGCCTGGCTTCATGAATCTTTCGTTGGTGACTTTTGAGTCGACTCAAAAGTCACCTACTGTGGGTGCCTGGGTTCATGAATCTTTCGTAGGTGACTTTTGAGTCGACTCAAAAGTCACCTACTGTGGGTGCCTGGGTTCTTGAATCTTTCTTGCCGTCGCTCTGCAATGCTTGCACACAAGTCCCCCCTCTCCCCCCTTCCCACCCCCCCCCCCCCCCCCCCCTTCTCCCTTGCCTTCTACCCCAACTCCTCCCCCGCTCTATCAACGTTTACTCCTTGAGTCTCCTGCTGTCGCCCCTGCCCCCCGCCCCCCCTCTCCCTTGTGTTTTTCTAGAGATTGTGTGAATGCCCCGTTTTTTCATGCAGTCGTGCAGGTTTTTGCAAGGCATTCTCTGTTCGTAGCCCCCCCCAAAGTGCTCTGTGTTTGTGGGTTTTGCACTCTGCTCTGTACTAAAAAACCACGTCGAGTGTCGTTTTGTCCGGTGACAAGGTAAACTCAAGCCTCATAGACGTTGACAGCACACCATTCTTAATCTATTCCCATCCCTCCCGTCCCATCCCATCCCTACCCTACTCTTCCCTTCTCTCCCTCGCATCCTTGCCAACATATCCTCGTTATGATCATATCCAGTCTAAGGCGGACCTGGTGGTGCCCTCTTTCAACTTCTGCATCATAGATGAGGTCGATTCTATCCTCATAGATGAGGCGTGCACATTGCCCTTACTCCCTTCCCTTCCCCCATCCTGAACCCTGCAAACACCCAGTCTAAGGCGGACCTGGTCGTGCCCTCTTTCAACTTCTGCATCATAGACGAGGTCGATTCCATCCTCATAGACGAGGCGCGCACGCCGCTCATCATCTCGGGGCCAGCAGAAAAGCCCAGCGAACGCTACCTGACTGCTGCCAAGATAGCCCAGGCATTCGAAAGAGACACACACTATACGGTGAGTCAGAATCGAGATTTGGTTTGTCCCAAGGTGCACACTATGTGCGATGGGTGATTTGGTTCATCCGGATAGTCGAAGCGTGGTGCATGCACACCGCTCATAATTTCAGGCCTGATGAGCGGAGGGCAATCAACCGAGCCTGCGCAACACAACCACCACCCCCCCCCCCCCCCCGACCTGCGTACCCACACCTAAGCACCCACTGTGTTGTGTGTGTCCTTGTCTGTCTGCATGTCTCTCCTGCTCAGGTGGATGAGAAGCAGAAGCTGGTACTCCTCACAGAGATAGGCTATGAAGAGGCAGAGCTGGTCCTCAAAGTGACTGACCTGTACGACCCTAGGGAGCAGTGGGCGTCCTTCATCATCAACGCGATCAAAGCCAAGGAGCTTTTTATAAGGGATGTGCAGTACATCGTGCGGGATGGCGCAGTTCTTATAGTGGACGAGTTTACAGGGAGGATTATGGAGGGGCGGCGGTGGAGCGAGGGGGTGCACCAAGCAGTGGAGGCGAAGGAAGGGGTGGTGATTCAGAACGAGACCGTCAGCCTCGCTTCTATAAGCTACCAGAACTTCTTTCTACAGGTAGGGGGGGAGCTGCCGCCATGCATGCTTGCGTGTGTCTGCCCCGATTAGGCAGTGGAGGCGAAGGAAGGGGTGGTGGTGATTCGGAATGAGACCGTCAGCTTGGCTTCTATCAGCTACCAGAACTTCGTCCTGCAGGTATGACAAGGCCATGCATTCCTGCATGTGTACACTATGCGCATAATTTGTACACATAAGGTGGTGAAGGCGAAGGGAGGAGTGGTGACTCCTTCCTTGGTTTGTGGAGGGCATCCACTGCTTGGAATCAACAAGCCATGCTGTCCTGAACCCCCCTTTCCCTCCCCTCGCTCCCTCGCATCACTGTCTGCAGTACCCCAAGCTCTGTGGCACGACCGGCACAGCAGCCTCAGAATCTGATGAGTTTGAGAGCATCTACTGCATGGTATTAATCACGGACCATACTGTCCTAAAGCCCCCTCCCCCTCCCCTCGCGCCACTGTGTGCAGTACCCCAAGCTGTGTGGCATGACTGGCACAGCAGCCACAGAAGCAGACGAGTTTGAGAGTATCTACAAGCTGGCTGTGGCGGAGGTTCCCACCAACCGGCCTCTGCAGCGAAAGGTGAGGGCCCTTGGGTTGGGTGTAGAGCATGTAAGGCTGTTACTTGTAACACTCCACAAGCTCTGTGGCATGACCGGCACAGCAGCCACGGAGGCAGACGAGTTTGAGAGTATCTACAAGCTGGCAGTGGCAGAAGTTCCCACCACCCGGCCTCTGCCGCGAAAGGTGAGGCTCGTGAGTGTGAAGGGAGTAACTTTGTAACATGTAACGATGTAAGATGTAGCGTTCAGTGTGGGATGAGTTTGAGAGCCTTGACGGCTTGGCTGAGCATCCCATGCGCCCACTCCTCTTCCCTCTCTCCTCTCACACAGTAGGACAAGCAAAACGCGGTGTATGGAACATCGGTGGGCAAGTGGAAGGCAGTGGTGGCGGGTGTGATGGGGCGCCAAGCCGAGTGTCGCCCCCTTACCTTCAACTCCTTGGCATATCCCCATGCCATCTTACGCTTTTTACAGGACGAGCAAGACTCAGTCTATCGAACATCCGTGGGCAAGTGGAAGGCAGTGGTGGCGGATGTGATGGGGCGCCATGCGGAGGGGCGGCCGGTGCTGGTGGGAACAACGTCCGTGGAGATCAGTGAGGCCCTGTCGGCCAAATTAAAGCAGGCTAATGTTCCTCACCAGGTGAGCTACAGCCTACAGCCGAAATGCACATGGCTGATGCAGTGTGTGAAGGAACTAGCTTTGAGGAAAAAAGATTGAATTGAGTAGGGAGCCAAGAGGCTCTATTGTACCAAACAAGGAGCAAGGAAGAGTTGGAAGGGAAGCTCTCCTATTGGCCATAAAGTGGACCAATGGGAGAGGTTGCTTGAAGGGCAAGCAACCATAACGTGTGGTGCTCTCCGATTGGCCACAATGTGGACCAATGGGAGAGGTTGCTTGGAGAGCAAGCAACCACAAAGTGTGGTGCTTGGTGATTGGTTGGTGCGTAGGACCAAGGACCATTTGGTTGGAATAGTGCCAACCAAATGTCTAGGACCAAATCCAACCAACAACCCCCCAATAAATATAATGACTACACCTCCTAATCTAGGCATGCATGTTGTATCGATATATATTTGACAACAGTGTGGGCACAGTGGTTTGACAGAATCAGTCCTGCTGGTGGCTACCTCACCTGTTGAGATAAGTGAGGCCCTGTCACCGTCAGCCAAACTGAAGCAGGCTAATGTTCCTCACCAGGTGAGCTACAGCCTACAGGCACCTGACTGATGCAGCATGGGCACAGTGGTCTGACAGAGTCAGTCCTGCTGCTGGCAACCACTCCTGTTGAGATCAGTGAGGCCCTGTCACTGTCGGCCAAATTGAGGCAGGCCAATATGCGGCACCAGGTGTGATGAGAGGCGCATGACTGATGCAGCGTGGGCACAGTGGTTGACAATAGCCGGTGCTGGTGGGGGGAACCCTGCCTGTTGAGATCATTGGAGCTTTATCTGCCAAGCTGAAGCAGGCGAATGTGGGCAGCGGTGAGAGAGGTAGGTAAGGGCCCCGTTGTTCTCTGTAGCTCCTAGCACATGCACAGAGAACAACGCAGGTGCATACAGTTGAGGTGGGAAACGGCATGCATGCAGCATGTAGCTGCTGCCTTGTCAAGCCACCAACATACTTTGAGAGGCCCCTTAAAAACTGCCCGTAAGGCCTCCGTGCAGCCCTCTTTCACAAATTTGCTTCACTCAACCTGGCCTTTCAACTCTCCTCCTTTCACTTCACTGTCTGGTGCTGAACGCCAAGCCAGAGAATGTCGAATGAGAAGCAGAGACTGGGTCGGCTTGGCTCAGTGACCACGGCAACACATGCAACTGCGTCACTCCACCCCTCCGTCATCCCCTCCCTTCCATTCCATTCACAGGTGCTGAACGCCAAGTCAGATAAAGTGGAGAGGGAGGCTGAGATATTGGCACAGGGTGGGCGGGAAGAGTCTCCGTGTTGCCGCGTCCCTTCAACCCAACCTCCTAGATTCCAACTCCCACATGCGACTGATTCACTCAACGCTTGACCTCCCGTAAGGTGCTGAACGCCAAGCCAGAGAGCGTGGAGAGAGAAGCAGAGACAGTCGCACAGAGGAGACGGTTGAGGGCGGCGACGATGGCAACGGACATGGCTGGCTTCTCCTCACTCCACCCCACACCTCCATCCTCCTCCCTTCCTTTCACAGGTGCTGAACGCCAAGCCAGAGAACGTGGAGAGGGAGGCGGAGATAGTGGCACAGAGCGGGCGGGTGGGGGCGGTGACGATCGCAACGAACATGGCTGGGCGGGGAACTGACATCCTTCTGGGCGGCAACGCTGAGTTCATGGCTCGGTTGAAGCTCAGAGAAGCGCTCATGCCCAGGTGCAGTGCGGTGGAAGGATGATGAAAGGGTGTACGGTGGAAGGCTGTGCGGTGGAGTGTAGTGAAGGTTCGTAAACTGAGGGAGGTTCTTATAGCAACGACCATGACTGGGCGGGGAACTGACATTCTGCTGGGCGGCAATGCTGAGCTCATGGCTCGGCTCAAGCTCAGGGAGGCGCTCATGCCCAGGTGCAGTGTGGTGAAAGGGTGTATGGTGGAAGGCTGTGCGGTGGAGTGCGGTGAAGGGCAGTAACTGGGAGCGGTGACTATAACAATGAACATGGCTGGGTGGGGAACTGACGTTCTGCTGGGCGGCAATGATGAGTGCATGGCTCAGCTCAAGCTCAGGGAGGCGCTCATGCCCAGGTGCAGTTAGACATGGTTAAAGTGCGATGCGATATAATAATAATATCGCATCGCACTGGCTGCCATAGTGATTAATATCGTGCGATATTATATCACATCGCCTGCGATATAATTTCTGGAAATCCAATATCGCATTTCAGGTGCGATATGTGACTGCATCACACCTGAAAATGCGATACATCGCATGATGCGATGTAATATCGCATCGCTTTTCGTCAAGGGCTCCTAAACCCGGTTTGCCACCATGGGAAAACAGGCAGATATCGCATGCGATATCGAGAAATGTTGCTTGCGATATCAAGTATCGCATATCGCATTTATATCGCGGGTAAAAAATGCGATATAGAAACGATATAAAAAACCGCGCGATAATTATTGCATTGCACGGTGCGATATAAACTCCCAAAAAACCAATATCGCTATCGCAAATCGCGCGATTATATCCCAGGAGCTCATGCCCAGGTGCAGTGCAGTGCAGTGAAACCAGGTGGAGGTTTCGCAATGTCTGGTGTAGAGCGGTGAGGCATGGATGGTGGTGGACTGTGTCAAATCTTGTGGAAAGGGGTACACTGGAGAGGCGCCGGTGAGCAAGCAAAAGGGCTTACTGTCTGGTGTGGTGTGTCTGACTGTTTTCTCTCTGCTCCTGTCTGTCTGGTGACAGGTGTGGTGTGTGTTGACCCCTCTTCTCCTGACTGGCGTTTTCTCTGCCGGGCTTATCCTGATTAATCGATACCTGTCTCCTCCCCTCTTCCTTTCCCTCCTTTGCTTACCACAGGGTGGTGAAGGCAGATGATACGGAGTACATCTTTCAAGGCAAGACCAAGGTTGCTGTCAAACGAACCTGGACGGTACGTCCTGCCAAATGCAATGAACCTGGCCGGTATGTCCTGCCATGTGCTTTGAACCTGGATGGTATGCTGCCAAGTGCAATGAACCTAGACAGTATGTCTTGCTGGCTCTTATTCCTGGATACTCCTGCTGCATTTTTCACTGTGGGGAAATAGATTGCGCCTGCTGTCATCAGCCAATGTGTGTGATGTGCACCGTGCGTGCACGATGCATGGTTGAAGCAGAGACCCCGCCTAGATGCCCCCCATATGCCCCTCCTTCCCCTCTGCCTCTGCTGCTGCTGCACCACCCATTCCTCATCTCCCTCCTCTGTTCTCTCCCCACTTGCCGCACCCACTCCCATCCCTTCCCCATCCCCACCTGGTGCCTCCCAGTCTCTTCCCCTGTCAGCAGTGGAGGTGTGGCTGAGTAACGCTCGGATGTTTTGTGTATTTTCCACCCCTTCCTTTCCCACAAGCTGCCTCCCAATCTCTTCCCCTGCCAGCTCTTATCTGACTTCACTCATGTTGTGGCAGACGCAGTGCAGGCAGCAGCAGCAAGAGCAGCAACAGCAGCAGCAGCAGCAGCAGCAGCAGCAGTGTGGGGAAGTAATGCTCCAGCGGATTTCCTTTTTTTTTTTTTTTTTTTTTTTTTTGTATTTTCCACCCGTTACTTCCTCGCAGCTGCCTGCCAATCTCTTCCCCTGTCAGCACTCACCCGACTTCACTGAAGTCGTGGCAGAAGCAGTGGCAGCAGCTGTGGAGGCGTGGGGGGGGTAATAATTCAACCGAATGACTTTGAAGTATTGTGCATGTTCCCCCCCTTTTGCTTTCCCCAGGTGCCTCCCAATCTCTTCCCCTGCCAGCTCTCGCCCGACTTCACTAGTGTCGTGGCAGCGGCAGTGCAGGCAGCAGTGGAGGCGTGGGGGGAGTAATATTCTAACTGAACCAGTCTGAAAATATTGTGTATTTTCCTTTCGCTTTCCCCAGGTGCCTGCCAATCTCTTCCCCTGCCAGCTATCAGCCGACTTCACTGAAGTCGTGGCAGAGGCCGTGGCGGCAGCAGTGGAGGCGTGGGGGGCCAATTCACAGACAGCGCTGGAAGCAGAGGACAGGCTTGCGTTTGCCTGTGAGAAGGTGAGAGGTGTGAGGGGGGGAGGAGAGGAAGGATAGGGGGGAAAGAGGCGGGGTCCGCTGGCTGCCAGCGTTACAACAGGGCAGCAGCAGTGGCAGAGTGGGGGAGTAAGTAACACACTGACAGCACGGGAAGCAGAGGACAGGCTTGCTGTTGCCTCTGAGTAGGGGTTGCACACCTATACTCGTTCTCGCATGCTCTCACTCTCTCAATGGGTCCTTTGTACTAGGTAGCAAGGGGTACAGGCGAGGTAAGCAAAACACTCTTTCTCTCATTCGCTCATTCGCTCTCCCCCCCCACAGGGCCCGACATCCGACCCGGTTATCAAGCAACTGCGGGCAGCATTCGAGGCGGTGGAGGGGGAGTATAAACGATTCACAGAGGAGGAGAAGCAGAGGGTCATTGCTGCTGGGGGGCTGCATGTGATCGGCACCGAGAGGCACGAGTCAAGACGGGTCGACAACCAGGTGGGTTGCTAGCAGCAAGGCTGCTGGGCTGGTTCATGGAGTGCGCTTTCTGAGGCGCCTCAAAAATAGACTCCATTCTTGAGGCGCCTCAAAAATAGACTCCTCACGCATGGGTTGCTAGCAGCAAGCAAGGCTGCTGGGCTGGTTCATGGAGTGCGCGGCGAATTCTTAGTAGTTTTTATTTTATTTTCTTCACTCTCTCTATATATATTGTATCTACTATTCCTTCCCCACACCCCCCCCCTACCATTCAGCTGCGCGGTCGCAGCGGCAGCATAACGTGCTGAGGGCGTTTGGGGGCAAGGATATTGACGTCCTCATGCGCGCTTTCCACGTGGACGATCTGCCGATAGACCCTGGCTTTGCATCCCACTCTCTCTCTCTCTCTGGCCCTTCACACTCCCGACCCAACCCACCACCCCCCCCTACGCGGTCGCAGCGGCAGGCAGGGCGACCCAGGCAGTTCAAGGTTTTTCCTCAGCCTGGAAGACAATCTCCTCAGAGTGTTTGGGGGCGAGAGGATCGATGGTCTCATGCGTGCTTTCCATGTGGAGGATCTGCCGATTGAGTCCAACTTCTCAACCCCCCTCCTTCCCCCCCCTCCACTCCTCCCCCCCCTCTCCCCCACCCCACCCCACCCTACCCCCCGACCCCCCATCTTCCCGTTTGATTACAGTTGCGCGGTCGCAGCGGCAGGCAGGGCGATCCCGGCAGCTCTCGATTCTTCCTGAGTCTCGAAGACAACCTGCTTAGAGTGTTTGGAGGGGAGCGGATTGATGGTCTCATGCGCGCTTTCCACGTGGAGGATCTGCCGATTGAGTCGCCGTTTCTGAACCGGGCGCTGGAGGACGCTCAGAGGAAGGTGGAGAACTATTACTTCGACATCCGCAAGCAGCTGTTCGAGTACGACCAGGTACGGTTGAGGCTCGGGTCCCTTAATAACAGGGTTTCGTGTTATGGATCCCCCCATTGAGTTGTTGAGTTGCCACGTGTCATCAATCAACCCCACCTGGTGCACAACAGCCGGAGAGATCGCTTCTACTCAGAGAGGCGGAGAGTAGGTGGAGACAGTGGACCTAATGTGGTCCATGCTATGCGACATTGTAATGAGGTGGCTTTTGAGTCGACTCAAAAGGACCTAATGTGATCCATGCTATGCTCCAAAATACACCGATGCCGCACCAATCCTCCGGTAATATGACCTCTACTCTCCTCTGTGCTTGCACCAATCCGCAGGTGCTCAACAGCCAGCGAGACCGCTTCTACTCGGAGCGAAGGAGAGCGCTGGAGACAGAGGACATGGAGGGGCTGATGCTGGAGTATGCTGAGCTGACCATGGACGACATAGTGAATGTGAGTTGATGTGAGGGCATATGTGAGGTGATGAGGTAGGGGTGTTTCCTTTGGTGTGTGAGGGCAGTATTGCCATGTGTGTGCTGGAGACAGAGGACATGGTGGGGCGGGTGCTGGAATACGCCGAGCTCCCCATGGACGACATAGTGAATGTGAGTTGGTGGTGTTGTTTGTCGTCTTGCCAATGTGGGGTGGGGGCAGCATTGCCAGGTGTGCTCCGAAAAGGGAGGGCAATGGAGACAGAGGTCCTGGAGGGGCTGATGCTGGAGTATGCTGAGCTGACCATGGACGACATAGTGAATGTGAGGGATTTTTACACCAGGAAGGTTCACCGAGAGGGATGTGCCCCTAAACTTTGAGGCTTTAACAAACAAGGCTCTCGAGGTGAGGAACTTTCGAGGCTCTGACCCTCATCGCTCTGTTCCTCCTCTCGCCCCTCATCGCTCTGTTCCTCCTCTCGCCCCTCATCGCTCTGTTCCTCCTCTCGCACCTCTTTCCTGCATGCCCTCAGGCCAACATCGACCCGTCAGAGTCGCAGGAGGAGTGGAACTTCGAGGCTCTCACAAAAAAGGTCAAGCAGTGAGTGCTGGGGCTCGGAGGGGTGGGAGGGGTGGGAGGGCTGGGAGGGCTGGGAGGGCAGGGAGGGCAGGGAGGTCTGGGAGGGCTGGGAGGGCTGGGAGGGCAGGGAGGTCTGGGAGAGCTGGGAGGTCTGGGAGGACTGCGAGGGCTGAGAGGTCTGAGATGGCTGGGAGGTCTGTGCTCCTTCTCTGTTTGGCGCTCGTGTTGCTTCCCTGTGCAACTGGGTGCTGTTTGGGGGAGCACAGACCTCCCAGTCACAGGGCAGCAACTGGCTGTAGCGTGAGTGTCAAAGAGGAGTGCAATTCTGAGGCTCTCACAATGGAGGAATTTTAGTGAGTGTAGGGGCTGTGTACCGTTTGCTTACTGTTCAGGCCAGGCTCAATATTGTTCCCAGATGGGTCTGTGTGTGAAACGCCGTGCTCACCATTGTCACTGCTCTGCCAGGATTGGTCCCCTCGCCTCTTTAATTGGCTCAGAAGCCGACTCAGCAGTTGACTTTGAAGCTGCTTCGGTAAACTTTGCCCCTCCGCTCCCCCTTCCTGTCATATCATCGTATCACCTCCCAATCTCTGCTCTCTCTTCCCTTCCCTCTTCCCCTCTCTTCCCCTCTCTTCCCCTCTCTTCCCCTCTCTTCCCCTCTCGTCCCCTTACCTTCAATCACTTCCCCTCTTCCTCGTCCTCTACTCTCTTCGCCCTCCCTGCTCCTTCCCCTTTTGCAGGTACTGCGCACTTCTCACTGACCTATCAATAGAGGACATTATCTATCACAGCGATACTGTCGACTCGCTAAGGGGGTATCTACACCAACGCAGCAGAGACGCCTACTACAGAAAGAGAGTGAGTGGTGTTCTTTTAGTCGATTCATGCGCAAACTCATGTACTCAGTACACCGTGTCTCCCCCTGTGTTCCAAATCGTTACTCCCCCACACCACAGGCTTATTGAGGGATGCAGAGCGGTACTTTTTGCTCACTTGAGTAGACCTGTGCATCTTTTTACCCTCTGCTTTTCCCCTCTGCCTTTCCCCTCTGCTTTCTCCCTCTGCTTTTTCCCTCTACTTTTCCCGTCTACTTTTCCCCTCTGCTTTTCCCTTCTGCTTTTCCCCCTTTCTGCAGGCAGAGGTAGAAGCGGCAGTGCCAGGGTTAATGAGGGATGCAGAGCGGTACTTTGTGCTCACTCAGATGGATCTGCTCTGGAAGGAGCATCTGCAGGCACTCAGATTCACTCAGCAGGCCGTGGCTCTAAGGGGCTACGCTCAGCGCGACCCTCTTATCGAGTACAAGCTAGAAGGGTACAACCTGTTTCTCGCCATGATGGGGCAGATCCGAAGAAACGTCATTTATTCAGTGTACCAGGTGAGAAGAGCTTATATCAGTGTAATCCTCTTATCGAGTACAAGCTTGAGGGGTACAACCTGTTCCTTGCAATGATGGGGCAGATATGAAGAAACGTCATCTATTCAGTGTACCAGGTGAGAAAAAACTTATACCATGGTGATCCTCTTATCGAGTACAAGCTTGAGGGGTACAGCTTATTTCTCATAGAGGCCTACACTGTGTGTTAACCTTTGAACCCTAGTTTGTTCCCAACGTCAAGCGTGCACATTCAATCACCCACTTAGTAACTCCTATCTCCCACCACCGCCCCCCATCCGTGTCTGTTCGCGTGCTTGGTTCCTCCCTACTTCGTGTCTGTGTTTGGCCCCTCCCTACTTTCTCCACAACCCCATGGCTGCTGCTCTCATCAACGTGTGTAACAGTTTAATCCTGTCCTCGTGAGTCAACCGGATGCCGCACAAGGATTGGGGAATGGTGAAGACAAGCTCTGAAGGCAAGGCACTGCCACAAACGTTTCCGGGTGTTTAGGGTGCTGGTTCCTAAATCTTAAACCCAAACCCTGAGTCCTGCCAAAGGACCCCTTTCTGGCTCTTACATAAGAGCGAGTCTTAGCTCGCTTCCAAGGAACTTTAGATCAAATCAGCTGGAAGCAAACTTTTGGGCAGGATTACTGCACCAAGCCAAATCTGTCTTTTTTACAAAATGCCAGCGAGCATAGCCTATAGCTCCTAGGAGGTGGTGAATCCCCCCCCACTGGTCACCTCCCTTATTCAGACACACTACAGGACAACCAAAACCAGACATTTTCGTACAAGCTTAAAGAAACCCGCAGTCGGCCACTTTATTCCCTTCCCCAGCCATGCATGTGGCTCCTCTCCACATCTCACGTATTGCCTCTCCGCCGCACATACGTGTGTATACCGATCCCCGCTTGTTTGCTGTCTGCCCTGGCTACGCCTCCAGGTCGTCTTCCGAGTCGTCAAAGAGAGAGTCAACAAAGTCAGCGTCTTCAAAGTGAGCAGCATTAGAGTGAGAGTTACCAGAGGGGGCACCCGGGGAGGCCTCGTCGGCGCGTTTTGGCGCGGAGCGAGCACGGTTGCAGCACAGGGGGCTGAGGACCCAGGCGAGAAACACGAGAAACAGAGCGATTCCGACTATTATCATGGTGCGTGGCCAGCAGGCGACGTTGCCTGCAAGGGAAATGAACGACGCGGGAGCAGAGGAGAATCAGGAAGGATCAGCGTGAGAAGGCTTAGGCCGACCCAAGGTGGTATGCGGTTAAAAGGGGAAAATAGGCGTTGCATTGCGTTGCTAGGGGGTTTTCTGACGTTGCACAACCCTCTCAACGTTACCATCACAATTTCCCCCCTCTGTATTTGAACTCAACATCACGGGTCCGTGTGACAGCTAGTGGGAGTCAAGTGACCATTTCATTACTAGTAATGAAGAAATATAAATAATGAAGAGATAGTAGTAGCTTACAAGGAGGAGAGCTTCCAAAGTCGAAGCTGGATTTGCACATGAACGGCGGGGCTGCATCACAGCGCTGAGGAAACAACAATGCCATTGGTTGGCCACAAGAAAAAAATATGCGAGTTAGGGTTCCACTAACGAGAAGCAAGTTCAATGACGCACAATTTTTCTGATTCTATAGTTTGAATGTATTACCTGGCAATCGGAAATACAACCAATAATATTAGTCGGGTAACTGGCACAGGGAGAGCAGTCAACGTTGTTGTGAGTGGCACGTGATGCGCGTGCCACATTTCTCTCGCCACTCCAACCCCTCCCCCTCCAAAACCGCTCGTTACAATTCTTTACCTACCACAACCCATTTCCCACCAACCAAACCTACTCTACCTACCAAATTTCCAACCCAACTTTTCCAGCTCATCTCCTCCAACCTAAGGCCTCCCAACTACTCCTTAATTTTCCCCAACTCTCATAATCATTCCTAGTCCACCTCAACCAAGCTTCCAACAAATCCTCCTATTCATCTCCAACTCCTACCTCAAGGCACATGAATCTTCATCATTTTCCATGTGCTCTCTCTTCCTACTCATCAAGAATTCTCCAAGTCATCTACTCCAACCAATAATCCTCCTCACATGTGCCTCAAGCGCATTCCTCCCTTCCCTACTCATCAACCTCCACATGCCTCTTATTTATTCCTTCCTTCCTATCCCAAGTCATCCAAGTTGCCATATCATCATCCAAGACTCTCATGATTCCTTACTTTTCTCACCTTCCAACTCAACAAAGCTTTCATTCCTCCTCCTCTCCTTCCTTTCCAACTCATCAAAGTTTCTCTCCAACACCACATGGTCTACAACTCCAAGTCACCAAAGGCTCAACAACTATCACATGCTCCACTACTATTCATCTTCACCAAGAATCCTCTCCAACTTCTCAAGAAGTTTCTCAAAGTACAACAAGGCATCTCCAAGCTCCTCTCCTCCAAGCTCCCCTTCAAGTCTTCTTCAAGCTCCTCAAGCTCACACCACTATAAAGGCTCCTTGTTAGCATTCATGTTCTATGTCTCTAGAGATGGTATTACCATGCTACCTTTCTTCCTAGACTACTATGAGTGGTCTCTTTCTCATGCATGTCCTTGTATCCACCATGGATTATAAGGCTTGTACTATACCCTATTTAATATAAGTTTATGCTCTCAAAATTCTCCCACAAAGTTCCTAGATTAGCAAAGTAATCAAGCATTAGTCTATCTTATACCCAACTCGAGTATAAGATGCATCACCAAGCCACAAGCTTGTAGGAAGACTTACTTCTTCAACACTCAACCTTGTGGTATCTTCACTCGTCAAGTACAAGACCATCTCCTTCAACCACATCCAAGATTGTGGTCCCCTCTCAAGCTTGTGGTGTCCTTCCAAGCTCAAGACCCTTTCCCAAGTGCAAGACTTCCTCTATCAAGAACCGCTCCCAAAATTCTACAGCTTCTCTACCTTGTACGACACACATAAGTAAGTCTCTCACTCTTCTTTATAAGCATCTTTCTCTCCACAAGTCCCCTTTTACTCACTTGAGTACCTTTCCACTAATTCTTCACAAGCACATTATAATTCCATTTATATGTGCTACAGTTCTACTATTGCACTCTTGTCCTATTCAATCGTACAATCATACTCTTTTGTCTTTATCTCAATTTTTATCAACCAGAAATACAATCAGTAATATTAGTCAGGTAACTGGCACAGGGAGAGCAGTCAACGTTACTAGTACTATTAGACGACAACAAAACTTGAGCAACATCGTCAGTGGAGGAGGCCTTTGCACGAGGCACACGAGGACGAGCGGAAGATGGCATAGTAGTTGTAGGTTATACTGCAAAATGCTGCGCTAGTATTGGATGACGGATGATAAATAGGCGAACAATTGTGCTGCGGCTGGACTGCTTGTGATATCCAAATGCCGCCGTTTATACACGAATTTCTTCACAGCTTGGTGAATTCGTTGAGCTGCTGGGTGCGAATTTGTGTTGTTCGAGCCGCCTTGCTTCATTGCGTTCGCAGACATTTGCTGCACCCTCGTCACGATCTGAATTGCACCTTCCTCAGCAGGTGAGAGCGGCTCCCCTCTCCAGCTCAGCAAGGCCGTTCGACCTCGGTCAACAGAAGTCGGCCAATAACGTAATTTTGCAGAGCCGAGATTTCCGCAGGTTACCCTTGCTTCCCCCGTCAATCACGCAAGTTCCCCCAGCTGGTCTCGCACGCAGCAACCGCGATGGGGATGGGGTGTGGCACTCCTCCAGCCAGACTTGCACCCACGCTGCGGGTGAAGGGAACTGCTCTCATCAAAGGAAATGGCGTAATCATTGCACCGTGGTCGATGGAACCACGCATGCATTTCCATCAGGACGGCATCATGATCATGCATCCCCAAGGTCCACCACGCGTGTTCCCCAGTTTCCCGCGATGGGTCCACGCTCGGCTGACTCGCAGAATTGCCTTGCTGACGACAACATACAGTACGAATCGCAGCACGTGATTAGGGCCTGTAGCCTACGGTTTCTTCGGCCTAGTTCCGGAACTCAGTTCCGAACTCGATATACACGAGTTCCGTTCGTCGCTAGAACATGGAGTCTCGAAACTGGATGTTCCATCGTTCAAACGTTTGAACGATGCGCGAAGTAATTCGCGAAACAATGAAACATAACATGTCGTCAGCTAATCACACGCCAGGCATGACGAATCTCGCGCCACATATTCTGATTTTTCACTTCCCCGATTGGCGGTTTAGGCACGCGATCAAATGCGAACGTTAATTGGGTCCTTATTTTCTCGCATGCCTCGCATGGTTATTTCGCACAAAACTGGAGGGAGAATCTAGAACGGCCGTCCGGACGACCGTTCGAAACTGGCGTCCGGACGTCGCTGGAACATCGAGTTTTGGAAACTGAAGAATCCTTCGCAACAGACTTAAGCGACCTTACATGCGAGGTGTGACGAAATTTGTCACCACACCGAAATTCGGACGGAACTCAGTTCCGAAACCGTAGGCTACTACCCTTGGCTCTCGACCAAAATGAGGTGTCACCAAGTCACCCGCAACATGGCTCCACGGGACGACATGTCATTCAGCATGAATGCTGAATCGTTTTGAAATTCATCAATGAGGGAGAGATTTTCAGGATACATGTCAAAAAGTACACCACAGATGACTCAGATAAAACTTTATGTGCGCTCCGTGCCAATTCACAAACCACACGTCTCAGCTCTGCTGAGCCTCGACCGTGTGCTCCAGGCCAAACTATATCCAGGCTCCCTATTGTTTTGATGTTGCCTCATTGTGTTGTTTCTTTCGCTACTCAATTGTTCGACCCTCGATATTTGCACTTCATACACATGGTCATCAAAGCCAACAATCATCAGCCTTACATCCTAGTTGTGGTACAGTACCGGCACTTCGGGAGGCTGACACCCTGTGCTTACTGCACATCCATTGTCTTGGTAATATTAATCAATAGTTACCTATAGCCACGAATGTGTTCACAGTGCCAGCGTGCCGAAAGCCCCCCAAAACTTCTACGAAATGGTGGAGCCGTCGTTGGCTAACGACACGACTGCCGAAGAACAAGTGGCAACACCCAACAAAGTACGTCTTACTAACGAGTCGCACCAGCAGGAATTGTCGCGCCTGCGTGCTCAACATGCCCGAGCAGAATTGGGGATATAATATCTGCACTGCAAAGCAAGCTGAACGAGACGCGGCGCAATATGCAACACCAACAACAAACGAAGGACAAGAGCAAGTTACACAACAAAGTTAAACTTGGCGACAGTTAGCGGCCATATGCAGCTTTGCCCGAGGGCTCGACCTACAACCTGCCACCGATAATTGGACGAATGAAAGTTGGCGATGGGGCGAATGCCAACCTGCAGCCCCAAATTACCTCTCCCGCCGGCCTGCAAACTGCAAATATCAATATGGTGCCGGGAATTCTTAAGACCCAGAGGCCAACACGTTCGACCCAAGCCAACGTCACAGTTTGTCAATAAGTGGATGGATTTTCGGTCTGAATGTATTTTTACGACGACAACCTCGTTGTCGAGGATTCACAGAAGATCCGATACACCGTGTCCCTCCTACGTGGATCGGCGATGGATTGGTGGGTGCAGATAATACAGTCGCATGAGCCGGATACGACACCGCGCGTGATCGGGCGTTTTCTTACGACCAATCACTGGGCAGGAAGCTTTTCCAAGGTGGACGACTATAGTACGTCACAATCGTAGTGCGCGGGAATTCGTCGCCGTTTCGAACAGTCAATGCAAATAGTTAGGCGTGCGACCGCCTTCGAACGTGGCGCCAACTCAGATCGGTCCAGGACTACGCCAGCAACTTCAAGAACCTATGCGACACAAGTCGGTTGCATTCACCTTGACGAAAAAAACGACGGATACATTGGGGACCTTTGACTGGATCTCCGCCAAGAATTACAAGTGGGGGGAATGACGGATTTAATAGAGGGGCCGAGGGTTGCAGAGCAGTTGGATTCGTTCGACAAACAAAGGGCGGATTCCTACGATAGAAATCGCACTTGGGGACCAATTGAGCGTGCCACTGTACACGTTGTTACAACCTCGAACACTACAATTACCGCCTTCAAGGGTAATTGTTTCGGGTGTACTGTAACAGGCCAGGACACCGCAAGTCGGAATGTCCCAAGGGGCGGAAGAAGCGGAATCAGGGGCAGGGACTTCTAATGATAAGGGAAATGCTTAAAGTCAGTATTTCATGGGCCTACTACTGATGCAACGAGCTCGCCCATGATCGTTGACCCTCATCAAGTTCTAGTACCGATTCAGGCGATCGACCAAACCCGGTTGAATAAGGAGGGTGTAAAGGTGCATTACCCCATTAATTTAGATGGCAGTGTTCAAGGAGAAAAAATATATCTTCGTGGACGGAGGTGCCAC